CGACATCGACAAACGTGAGGACCAATTGTGCAAAATGATTCAAACTGCATCATTTACTTACTTTGACGTAACTTTGGTTGAAAAGCATATCTTAGAAAACCCGCACGTAAAAAATTGCGAAAAGTGCAAAATCTATGTAGAAGAACGTTTAATCGAAGTTTTGGAACACAAGTTATCTTTTGATAAAGAAATTCAAAATTTAGGGATAATTGAGCAGATTTGTACCTCCGAAGTAATGGATTTTGTGCTTTTACTGGCAGGAAAATACAACAAACAAAATCTTGAAATGGAAGTTGATTCTTGTTTGCAGAAGAATTCTGAAAATAACGTAAATCATGGTAATGAAAATTTGGATTTTTCAAAATCAGAAATGTGTGAATTTATACAAGAGACGCAATTTTAGTATTGAATCAATTTGGAGTGTTATCTTGCAATGGACAAAGCATGATATCAACAACAAAAAGAATTTTATGACATTCTTAAATTTATTGATGTTGAAAATATCTCAGTTGAATTTTTACTTGATACAATTATGCAAGAAGAACTTGTTTGTGAATCGACAGAGTGCAAAAATTTACTCATGTACGTAGTAATCGAAAAACTGACCCATCTGTAATATTTTAACTCAAAGACATGCGCACAAATAGAGACTAATGCTGACGATTCATTCATTAGTGTAGTGCACTCCTGTTTGTCAAAATTGTCACAATTTTGATTTCAGAAAATATTAATAGCAAATTGAAACCGTACACAAAAGAATCAATATTTTATGAATAAATTATTATGTTTTTCTGTGGTATCGTGAATGGTATTATTTCTGAATTTCAAAGAAGAAGGAAAAGATTCTCTTTCTGTTTATTCCGAAACTTTTTAAAAATTTTGCGCCATTCTACTAGACTCTAGAGTAATTTTTATTTGTAAACTTTTCTGCGCCCAGTCTAAGATATGACACCACTATACGTTTTGTGCCGTTCTTATTGCAATAGACATTACCCAATTTGTTGAAAATCTCGGAAAATTTCATATTATGTTTACAAAAATTTACTGATGTGAAATCGCATGCAGTCACTCGGAGGTAAAAAAGACTCATTTTTGAGCAATATTACGGAAAATCAATGAAAACTTAAGATTTACTGAAACACATAGATTGATTGTGATGCATTACGCACCAGCAAATTCGGATTGACTTCAAGAAATTCCACCTAAGTTTTTACTGTGGGGTAATCGTATACCCAAAACTCTATCCAACTAGAATACTAGATATTTTCTGTATCAAAACCTATTTGCGACAACAAAATCAAATTTTATGAAATAAAATATCATTGTACAAGTCGATATGCATGTATTATTGCGCTATTTTGTTTGTTAGAATTTGATGTTGAATATGGATACGTTCTCGTATGAAACTCCATAGCTAAGTCATCATCGGTTTTCCAGTTGTGATAAATAATAAAAATTCGTTTTCAACGGCATCGGTATTTCAAACCAGGGATATGCAACAGGCAGCACGCGGGCCACAAACCAACTAGCTGAGCCATTTAGTGTGATCCTTGTCAACACTCCGATTTTCTCCATCAACCATAAAATCCGAATTCGATGGTTTTGTTTGAAAAGTTGCCCACGGGAGTAAAAAAACATCGTTTTGATCGGTGACTTTATTACTGCAATGATAAGCAATACCCGCATTTATTTCTCTTGCCTTTCCCGCATGGATAAGCTAAATTTTATGTGTGGCGCGGCTAGATGTCTGAAGTTGGTTATATGTTCCACCGAAAAAAATGTGGCACGCCATTGTTTTAAACATTCAGATTTATTTCCATCCATGGAATTATACTGATCATGCTACTATGACCTGCATGCGGCCTTGTCTATTGTATCGCTTGTTTGCCTTTTGTGTCTCAGGTATTTCATTCTGTGATTGACCTCTGACACATCCACACATGACAGTTAAGATCTCTTTGTAGTTGCCGAATGTTGCCAGCATTGACAGAACATTTATAAGAATGCTGATGTCATATAACACAAGTCCAATTGCTGCCGGTAAGTCAATTGGTAAAATAAGATTTGAAGTGAGCATGGTAACAACGTCAGAACTTACAACTACACACGTACAAATTACAGAACGATAAATTACTTTTTCAATGTTAGTAAGCATTCGATGCTGCTTTCCACATGGACATAATGACGAAACAATAAATATGCTCTTCAACTTCGAATATTCGTTTGCTGATGTTTTGTTTCTAGCCATGCGATTTTTAACCAAAGGATAAATAAACAAGCACAAAGACGCAAACTGCGTTGCAGCAAGTCCACCAATAACTGCTATAAAGTTATTCTGATATAGAACTCCTTCTTTGTGATTGCAGCCTTGTGGCACTGGTCTATACAGCTTGGGTATAGCTATGAGATTCACAAGCACTAGTGTACCTATGCTGAACGACGGCATTATTGCCAAGCTCAAGTAGTTAGCACATTTTCCAGTTGACTTTCTTATAGTTGGATCGGCGTAAATTGTTCTTTGTTTCAACCACAGGAAGAAGTAGACTGGACCAACAGTCGTTGTGTATGTTACAACACTGATGTCCATTATAACTTCACATAATTCATACGAATGTGTTGTACGTGGTGCCTGAATAGCATATTGCACCCAAGCAAATCTTGGAATAGTCCATGCAACAGACGCTACACAAACGATATAAAACGTTCTGCTGTTAAGCCACGGGCTGCCTGGTTTCCTTGCCCATTGCTTTGTCTTAGTTCCATATACAATCATAGAAGTAAACACCCACAATGCAATAAATAGCAATATAGCTTCAACAACTTGGCACGATAATATAGCAGCATCGAGGAAGAATTTATCATAATTTTTAGTTGTGCTGGATGTCCAAGATGCAACAGCAGTTGAGTTACTCGCATTGGTCATTGTGATATATACTATGTCAACTGACGTAGTAATCTGTCTTTTAGATTTTTCCGTGAAACTGTCCCGGGTAAAAAAGCTTGCAGTATAGCAGTTAAAGCTTGACTATTGTTAGTGTAAATATAGAAACAAACAAAAGTTTAATATACCCATTTTGAGAATGCATCTTTCGCGAGTTATTTTTTGCTTTATAAAATAGAACATAACTTTAAAGTTCCTCTGTTGCTTTGCTGGCTGATGGGTTGAAAATTTACCTTTTTCGTTAATTTGATTTTTGTTTCTTTTTGAGCATTTTGAATCAATTGACCAAGCATTGAGTGACGACCACAAGCGTTTATATATATATATACTGTGGCAGTAGAGATTGATGTAAATATACTCTACGTCTACAACATGCGAAATATGATTTTTTTTTTAATTAAAAAACCAATATTCAGAGTGACTGAATAGTTTTTACCACAATATAATAAAAAAATCTTACAGCAAGTTTCAGAAATTATAAATGTAAGTGATACAATTTAATGAAATAAACCAATTTTCTTATATTCTATCATTAAACCTTGCTTCGTGAACAGTACCTTCAGTTTCCTTATTCGATCACAACTAATAAATTTAGAAATGCTTGACTATAATTCCGACTATAATTAAACCACAATGAATAAAAACTTCCCTATAATTCAATTGCAATAAAAACAAAACTTAACTTATTCTAAGATTCAAATGGAAAATATAATTTTTTGATCATTAACTCGATACAGAAAATAATAATTTTACTGCCTGAACACTCACTGACAAAAGTACAATGATTGTTTTGCCCGACTAGGCTATTTTAATACGTATAAACGCGTTCTATATTTGAAAGAATATCTATATCATATACCCGACAATATAAAATATATTTTCGACTGGACATTGACACAACTTGCTCAGTTTCCTAGTATATGAAATATATTAAAATTATATGGTGTGATTGTTTGGCTATTTTTGCTGAATAATTTATATCTTGTTTTGTAAGCAATTTTATTCGTGACGCACGAATGAGAGGGTCATTTTGTGATGTTTTACGTATTGAAAAATTCATGTTTAGACAAGAATTGCCTGCATTTATTTTACTTGATATATCAATTTCCAAAAATTGACTTGAACTAATAACACGAGAGCAAAGCTCAAATATATGGGTGCAAAGGTCAAATATTAAAAGAGTGATCCGGGTTGAAGTACTAAAATTGAAATCAATTGAAAGATGGCGATATTCGTACAACAGCTAGGAAGACTATGATACCAATTCAGCAAACCGATTTATATGCAATATTTGCGTACTGTGAATCAACTTTTCTGTTTGTACCAATATATATACATATAATTCCTACTTTATATGTCTAATCAACCACTCGTCTAAAATTGTCTATTCCTACCCAAAATACTATATATATACGATCGCATTTATCTGAATGGACCAAGATTTAAATTAAGTGGTCGTGAAAATGAATGCCCCACAGTTGTTGCGCCAAACTTCTTTGTTGTCTGATCAGTTTATTTGCCATCTATTTTAGCTGTTGATCCCAACATTAATGTGTCACGCATAATTGCAATACAAATATGGCGTTCATTTTCCCGCATGATTATCTGTCAATTCGGTACTTGATTACATGTTATGCACTCAATTAAATTTTGTAGCCATCCTCATATCAATTTTCCTCGGCATCGCCAAAACGACCATCATTACGGGAGCAATTTAAACAATTCTAACATCTAAAATGATAAATTCCATGACACGTGAGAAGCTGACTCACAACTCTTGCTGACCTCAAGCAATGTTTCCATCATTTTTTTTTAAATTCATCATCAAATAAAAGCATTTCAGGCGCTGGGGCGTGAAAGATAGTATTTTTATACAGTATTATGTAACTCGCTTCAGATTTCACATAATGCGGACTATATTGACTTGTATACTAAGATACCGTTTTTCACAACAAGAATTAACTAAACAGATTGTAACATTCTTACTATGGCAAATCGTAAGACTTTACTTTCTTGACGCACTTGATAATTTACTAGGAATACTATTTAAATGAAATTTTTCTGCCGAAATAACACAGTTTTCTAATCTTCAAGATATATTTAACATTTTGTGAGGTGTTTCAAGTTTCTGATGGGATTTGATAAGATTTTTGAAAGGAATAAAGTACATAAAATAGTTGAGCAAAAATCATCCATGTAAATAATATACCGATGATTAGAATTGCGCATCTACTTTTTCTTTTCATTTTGTTTCTTACTGGATACAATTTCTTCAATTGACCTCTCAACATCTGATATTCTAGCGAACTTACCATATTCTTGTTCTTTTCCGCTGCATACTTTACCAGATGTTTTCACACCAGCTAAATACCAATCACAACTGGTTTTTCTTTGACATATCAAAAATGAACCTGGATTTCCTTAATAAATGAATGAATATATGAGTACAAGTTTCAATTTATTACTTGAATAAATGTTCTCAGAATTATAACTGATTTCATTGGATATATGCCAGGATTTTACCGACAGATACCAACTACTCGATAACAAATTATTTTGGGTTCGGCAAGTCTTACGTACGTTATTTATTTCATGTCTAATGATAGATTTAGGATTTACGAGGTGAGAATTATACTCAATTTTCCGTTTCACTTACCCAAACAATTTGTAAAACGACTCTTTGGTTCAATTATATTTCCCACACAAATTTCCTCTTTTATTGTATATTTTGTTTCATTAGCTTGATCATTGCATCCAGAATTATTTGCAACAAATACGGGCATCCGACGCAATGGATAATAAGAACCTTTAAATAAATAACAGGTTATTGCTATCTGTTATGAATTTGATTTGGTTATGGGCCTGAGAAACTTAATTTCAACATGGACGGGATCCTAAATTAATTGCTAAACAATACCGTTCCATAAATTTTATAATACAGAAGATTGTTCAGCCACTAAGGAGATGTCAATTAATTTTTCATACCAATAAACTAATGCTTCATTATTGACAAAACCCAGACTTGGCCCCTTTAACGATTTAAAAAATGATTGACAAATGTGTATGGAACTAATTAGTTTTCAACGGTGCTAGAATTGTAATAGTTACATTTTTGGTGATAGATTTTGAATTTTTGATTTTAAATCTATGATTTGAAATTTATATTATATTTTTTTCATCAATCTTACTGTTGTTTCTCCCGTTTCTAGAGATCCGTACAATTGGATTGGTATGTATAATTTTGAGTTAGAGAAGAATAAAGCAAAAATTCTATGTGACCTTTATAAGGTAAAAATTACTATATACCACTATATGTTTTCTCCTTTACATATCCAAATGCAAAACAGTTCTCGCCGATGGATGGATTTTCTCCATCTGGCAAACAAATCGGTTGAATTAGGTCTGGAGAAAATTTGAAGCTTCTGTTGAATTGAACGAGGACAATGTTGTTGCTCACACTGTAGTTGGTAACTGTCTATAAAAATATTTACAATATATAGCAAGACGCAGCATTTGTCGCTATATTTTAGTAGGTTCTGAACAAAATACAAAAAATTGCAATGAGAACGTTTTATGAAATGTAATGTCATAATATATCTAATATTTCATAGGTTTCACAGGCATATCTCAAATTTTCTAAAACATGCGTTTTAAAAGAAAAACGAGGTTTTGTGAAATTCTGCTTTCGAAATTGCAAACATTGTATTAATTCAATATTTTTTTGAACAAAAACTTATTAATTTTGTTTTTTAGTATACTGTTGAATTCTGAAACAATAGTATCAGTACAACGGAACAATGTTAGTTAGTCTTACTCGGGATATTTTTACCTTGTACCCCGAATAATAATCCTTAACTCCGGACGTTTGGTTTTCAGTTCTAAAAGTAAAATTTAAAATTCGTTTGAGTGTGTCCATATGCGACAAATACGAATGGTAAGTATAGAAAGACCAATTTGCAGTTGATAAATTTTGATAAAAATAGTATATTTGATTCATTCTTGATATTTGAAAATTGCATTTAGTAAAAAATCAGATACTTTCAATCTTTTTTTAGCTTCACTCACGATATTTTATTCACACATTTCTCAGCACAATCCGTGGGAACAGCTCTCCATCTTTCATTGATAATCACTCCGGTGCATGGCTGAGTTTCGTTGAAATAAGTTCTAATCTGATGAAATTTATTAAAGACAAATGGATATAATGATTTTATTGGTCACTCATTAATAATTGGTTGTCCATTATTGGACACGAAGTGGACATAACGATCGTTTCAATATTATGTTGTTCTTGTTCTTTGACACGTTTTTAAAAAGTCGCTTTTCTCTTCGAATACTGGACCAATTGCTTTGAAATTTTCAGAGGTTGAAGATAAAATTTTTCTCCAGAAGGCTATTACTTTTATTTATTTTAAAATTTCCTGTGGACTTCGAGAGATTCGTTTTTTGTGTTCAAAGAAGTGATCAGAATAAAAAATAGTGACACCTTGTGGCGATTGCGCGAAGGCATATCAACTGAGAAGCGATCGTAATTACCGACATTCATAACCTTTGACCTGTCGCCACTTCCGCATTACTTTTGTGGAATCGAGGTGACCGCGGGTTTTTTAAATTTTTCTTGCGAAAAATACGGTAACTCGCGTTGGCGTGTCTGATTCGGAAAAGATCTTAATGTTCAGAGATGTCACTGTGCTGAAACTGTTATACTGTACTGTGTTTTGAACAGAGTTGTCAACTCTGACAGTTACCGAAAATGTTTGAGTACCGGTATACAAGGCCATGGGTATGAATGCTGGAACGTTCAGATATCTGGGTGTTGCGAAGAGTAGGTAGCGGTACCGGTACCGTACCGTACCTTTACGTATATTTAGTACCTAGTCTAGTTACGGTATTGACAAAATATACCCGAAAAAGGTACCGTTACCTAATTAATAAATGAAACGATTTCTGAATGCTTTTCCCAGTTTCTTTGCCAGGTGCAGCGACAGTGCCTATCTGTTCCTGGTTTTCTTCTGCATAAAAGAAATTCCAACTCTATGACTGAAACCTTGCCGTGGTGAGTTGGCTTACAACTGATATCAGTCGGCACTAACCAATTGAGTATTGACATATGAATTCTGTCATTATCATGCTACAAATGAGAACTCAATACCCTCTCATCCTCATTCGTAGCATGATAATTACAGAATCAGGTAAGTAAGCTCTTATTATGTATATTAATGTCAGCAATCTGGTAGCAGAAAATGTGAGAAAAGACGAATCGCTTGCCAGTGTAGGGAAGGAGATTTAGCTCTCTCATATAGGAATATTTAACATTGCACACTGACTTATGAAATTGCAACTCTGCAGAATATATGTCTATTAAGTCAGTAAGTAATATGTCTGATCCAATTACTTCGAAAGAATTTCTTGCTTCCATCGGGCAAAAAGTGTCTGGAACGAATAACGAGTTGCAAAATCGTGTTACTTTATACTCCAAACATGCTCAGCTTCTTAATCGATATCGCCGTAAGTATGACACCTTAAAAAAGGACAAAGGAATTTTCAACCGCTAGTTGCCTGTAGACGAGGTGAATAGTATTAGTGGTGTGTGGGTTGTTGGATGTTATCCTCCACTCACAGAAAAACAGCTTTACACTTACATACAGTCAAAGCGATCAGCAATAGTGGCAGGTCAGAAGAGCATGTTACAAAAAGGTTATTCCTTGTTTAAAAGTCAAAAGGTGAGATTAATTTTGTTTTTGTAATTACTGATTGAGAGTTTTTATTTGATATACTGTATTTCAAAGTATAGCTCGTATTTTCAGATTGTTACAATTAGGACCCTGGCAGCAAAAGAAAACCTGTATATCCGAGCACACGTCAGAAGTTCATACAACAATCTTGTGACCAGAGTGGCCATATTGAAAGTCAAACTTGGAATTCCTCATTCGGCATATTGTGATTGCCTTATTGGCAAATCTGGAATATGTTCCCATGTAATTGCGATTTTATACCAATTGATAAATATTACAAAAACAGGCAATGCAATTCTTGAAACTCAGGTTACGAATTTACCTATGCAGTGGCACAAGCGAGGAAAAAGGACATCTGCGGCTATGCTCCCTATACAAAAAATTCAGGTTTGCCCATTCATTTTATATTTATTGATACAACCATTTTCCACATTTTTTTCAGAATTATTGTTCACATGCAACTTATTTACAGGCCAAGTCAACGAGACATATTAAAAAAGAGGAATTTGCAAGAAAAAGTCAGATACATTAGGTCAAAAATAAATAAGCAGGAAGTAGAATTACACTTTTTAAGGACATTGGGACAGAACGAAAGATTTAGAAATGGAGGGCTTTACATCACACTCTCGGAAAGATATATCAAGACTGCAGCAACAAATGATCATAATTACAGCCAGGCTTTACCAGCGCAGACTATAATCGATCCACTATGCGTACTGACCGAGGCTACTGATATTCCAGAGTCTTCGAACCGCTCTAATCTAGTCCCGGATAGTTGGAATAGGGGGCAGCCAGTGTACCATGCAGTCCAGCAAAAAACAAATGCTTGGTTTGAGTTGAGGCAAGGATTGCTTACAGCGTCTATCTGTGGTACTCTGTTAGGTAAGGCTCTCTCTGCTAATTTCACAACAGAAAGGCTTGATAAGCAGTGACTGCTTTTCAAAGAATTACACAGTTGTCTAAACAGGTAAAATACTTTAGGTTTCAATGGCATGAAAAAAATGGATGAAGAATGGACTCTCTTCAATAATGGTGACAAAGCCCCAGAAAATAACTGGCTGAACTATCGGCGCGGGAGAGCTTATGAAGCTATTGCACGAAGCAAATTTTGCACAGACTCTGGTAAGTAGTAAGGAATACGCTCGCCACTGCACCTCTGATTACTCTGCGTGGGGTCGCTGGTTCGAATCCCATGCAGGGATGGTTATGTGTGAGAGGATTGCTGGACTCCTCGCCATTGTAGGATGGTCCACGTAACCGCTGTTCGGTTACGGCTTCCTCCACCATCAAGTCCATGCTTTCGAAAACAAATAACTAACTAATCCCATACCCGACTTGGAGTGGTAACCGGACGAGAGGCTGTGGTTGGTCATATAGATAAGCTGTCTTATCGTCATTCCTCTCTCCCCCGAGATAAATATGTAAAACCTATCCTATTTTTCAAATAGGTCCGGCAGGTATTTTCTAAATAGGTCATATGAATGTAGGACTGTCCGATGCTTTAAAGTTAGTAAGGGCTTTTATTTGTCAAAATGAAAGCCTTTTCACATTGTTCTCAGGCATTGATGCTGTAGAATGCGGTTTCTTTCAATATGGATCAATGGGAGCCAGCCCAGACGCATTATTACCAACAAAAACGGACTACATTCTTGAAATAAAAACCAGGGCTGCCAACCAAGACAGCCCTTTGAAAAGCTTGGATAAGTCTCATATTATTCAAACGCAGATACAAATGTTGTGCACAGGGAAGAAATTTTGCATTCTCCAATCCTATCATCCAGAGACTAATTGTTTAAATTACTTTTCCATACCATACATGGCCCATTTAGTGGATATAACACAAAAACTGCTGAATTGCATTAAAAATAGAAAAACCATATCTGAATCTGATCGCTGGGAACCCCTCAGTCTCATTCATGAGAAAGTATGGTTGGCCAATTTTGGACAAATTCCAAACTTTTCTTCGCTGCGCCATCTGAGGTCTATGTACACCCAAGCGACCAGGCAATGTGCTCAAATAGAGGACATAAAACACTATTTCAGTACATGTTAGATTACACCATAAACCTTGTGAATTGTGATAATTACTGTTTTTTTTTTTTTTGAATGTGTTGTTTTATATCGCTTTCGGGCAGTTTTCTTTCTAAAAAAAAAAGTAATTTGAGATATCATCGGTCCTGGGTATCTGTCAACTGAAAAGTAGTTACACATACCGGTTTCACAAGTGTTGATATAGCCTGAATATGAGCCAAGAATCTCCATACGCTGTTAAGCAAGTCCAGTCTGCCACATGGCCACTCAGTATTTAGAATCCGAAAGTTTCTAAGATAACCAATCCTGTCAGAAATGCGATAAAAATGATGTTACAGAACCTCTGCTATCTTGTGTATTTCAATAATAGGTAAAGCAAGTTTAATAAAAAGTACCATCGCTCCACGTGGATCCTGAGGCAAGCAATATTAAAATTTTCATCACATTGGCCTTCTGTGAACTGACTGGCAGATTTCATCGGAGGCCGATTGTGTTCTGCTCCCTTTTCAGCTGCTAATTCACTAATAGCAAAGCCTGAAAAAATTAAAGATTATGTTGAACTCGGTTACTCTTAAAAAGACTCACAATTTTAAATACCCCAAGTCAAATTTAGCTTACCAATTGTCATTAAATCATGTTAGCTAGCTCTTACCTTTGTCAGTGAGAACTCCATCAAGAACTTGGCATTTGTTCAAAGCTCCGGAAATTGTTGTTATGTCGGTGTCGGTTATTGAGCCAGGGTATAAGTCTGGCACTTGACATAAAGCTCCATGAGGAGAAAGACAGACTAAGGCTTTAACAGTGTGACATTGTTTATAATCAGAAAAAAATAATGTATTTAGGTTCAAGTCAGAAAATCGGCCAACGCGAAATTCTGTTGCATCCAGTATAAGTGCAACGTGACCAAAACCGAGAGATTTGAATTGTGTAGGCATCCTTGATGTTATCAGGTCATGCGAAGGTTGGAGGTCCAAGCTACTGAAAACAGCATCTCCAAATGTCACCCAAGCTTCGAATATTCTTGTTAGTGTAGGTTGAGAAACCTGTAGCATCCAGGCAACTATTGCAAGAGGTAGAGCATGGCGGCATATTGCCATTACAGCCAAGAATTCATTTTTTTTAGTAGTTTTTCTCTTTGTACTCGTAGCATTTTTGCAGTTTTCATATTGAATTAGGTGAAGAAATGGTTCGGGGCATGAATATATTGTTTGTAGGTCGCATCTATTAAAACCAGTGAACTGTTCTAATTCAGAGTCACTGAGAGCATCCCAGTGAAACATCATTCTTTGATTACATTTTTTCGTTAATGTTTGCTTTGAATTTTTTCGAAGTTTTTGGTGCAGTTCCTTAAGTTCAGATTTTAATTGAGAATTTTCTGACCTAATTTGCTGGATTTCAGTTTTCAATTTCTCCATATCTTTGAGTATACTGGACATTTTGGACTCTGAATTTGATTTTGAACTCCTCTGAAATAAAGTTCTCGCCTTATTGAATTTTTTCACACGAATAGTCCTGGCTTTAGCATCTCCATTTAAATTCTCCATTTTTCTATTCCTGGGTACTCTGATGTCTGGCAGATGTTTGAAATTTCGCCGAGGTTGACTCCAATGCCTTGAGCATATGTTCTTCCGGAGGTGCCAATTTACGCCATCCGTCTTTAAAAATGCTTTATAATAATTCAATATCGATTTTGTTTTCGGAACATAGTAGCACTGCGTCCAATTCCTCCAATTGGAGGTACATCCCGCCACACAGCAGTTCCATCGTAAAGGCATTATTGATAGATGAAAAACGTATATTATACAATAGGCTATTAGAACTGTAGTAGCAGTAAAGCACATATGGTTAGCACATACTTCAATACCTGAATACTGACAAATGATATGCAGGATAAGGCTACAGGGGTAAAGGTGCCTGTTTTTGTAATATTTATCAATTGGTATAAAATCGCAATTACATGGGAACATATTCCAGATTTGCCAATAAGGCAATCACAATATGCCGAATGAGGAATTCCAAGTTTGACTTTCAATATGGCCACTCTGGTCACAAGATTGTTGTATGAACTTCTGACGTGTGCTCGGATATACAGGTTTTCTTTTGCTGCCAGGGTCCTAATTGTAACAATCTGAAAATACGAGCTATACTTTGAAATACAGTATATCAAATAAAAACTCTCAATCAGTAATTACAAAAACAAAATTAATCTCACCTTTTGACTTTTAAACAAGTAATAACCTTTTTGTAACATGCTCTTCTGACCTGCCACTATTGCTGATCGCTTTGACTGTATGTAAGTGTAAAGCTGTCTTTCTGTGAGTGGAGGATAACATCCAACAACCCACACACCACTAATACTATTCACCTCGTCTACAGGCAACTTGCGGTTGAAAATTCCTTTGTCCTTTTTTAAGGTGTCATACTTACGGCGATATCGATTAAGAAGCTGAGCATGTTTGGAGTATAAAGAAAAACACGATTTTGCAACTCGTTATTCGTTCCAGACACTTTTTGCCCGATGGAAGCAAGAAATTCTTTCGAAGTAATTCAGTAATTGGATCAGACATATTACTTACTGACTTAATAGACATATATTCTGCAGAGTTGCAATTTCATAAGTCAGTGTGCAATGTTAAATATTCCTATATGAGAGAGCTAAATCTCCTTCCCTACACTGGCAAGCGATTCGTCTTTTCTCACATTTTCTGCTACCAGATTGCTGACATTAATATACATAATAAGAGCTTACTTACCTGATTCTGTAATTATCATGCTACGAATGAGGATGAGAGGGTATTGAGTTCTCATTTGTAGCATGATAATGACAGAATTCATATGTCAATACTCAATTGGTTAGTGCCGACTGATATCAGTTGTAAGCCAACTCACCACGGCAAGGTTTCAGTCATAGAGTTGGAATTTCTTTTATGCAGAAGAAAACCAGGAACAGATAGGCACTGTCGCTGCACCTGGCAAAGAAACTGGGAAAAGCATTCAGAAATCGTTTGATTTATTAATTAGGTAACGGTACCTTTTTCGGGTATATTTTGTCAATACCGTAACTAGACTAGGTACTAAATATACGTAAAGGTACGGTACCGGTACCCCTACCTACTCTTCGCAACACCCAGATATCTGAACGTTCCAGCATTCATACCCATGGCCTTGTATACCGGTACTCAAACATTTTCAGTAACTGTCAGAGTTGACAACTCTGTTCAAAACACAGTACAGTATAACAGTTTCAGCACAGTGACATCTCTGAACATTAAGATCTTTTCCGAATCAGACACGCCAACGCGAGTTACCGTATTTTTCGCAAGAAAAATTTAAAAAACCCGCGGTCACCTCGATTCCACAAAAGTAATGCGGAAGTGGCGACAGGTCAAAGGTTATGAATGTCGGTAATTCTTGCTCCGCTAAGAGTTGTTTATGGGGAATCGAGATGTTTGGGGTTACCGGTACCCGCAATGCAGCAATGCAACGGTTTGCGATTTCAATAAACTCGAAAGGTTTTTGAGGTTAAGTTAAACTACCGATACTGTTTCGCTCGGTGTTCAATCAATCAATGTTCACTTTCCATATATTTCAGTATTTGTAGACTGTGGTTCCCGTGTTAAGCGAAAGTGATACCGGTACCGGTACGATAGTTGGGAAAGCTATGACAGTCCCTGTGGCCTGTACGGCACGTACCGGTACCGTTCACAGGTTTACGTACCGTCTTACCAATACCGGTACCGTAGTCCGTTACGGTACGTACCGGTACAGCTGTACAGGTACGATATCGGTAGACTAGTACAGTACTACTGTACTAGTTGCATTAATTATATTTGTTTAGAGTGTGTGCCTGCATTGAAATTAAGTTTTTGTAATGAACCAGCATGTCTGCACAGCTGCTATGCCTTTCTAATTTTTCGCTGTTTCGTTACATTTTTTTGGAAACAACATTTGCATAAATACGTATGGTACCGTATGCAGAGGAAGAAACTTCACAAAAATTTCAACATGTGCAGCAGGTTAGTGTACATAAATCAGTAAATACAGAAATATGCAGAGGAAGAGACTTTACAAAAAGGATAAGATTTACATAATTATCCCGATGGAGAGGAAAGCCTATAGAACGGCTTAACCATATTGCGAACCACTGCCTCTTGTCTGGTTACCGGTAAGGTACCATTCCAAGTCTGGTATGGCTGTATGGGAGAAGCATTACAATCTTTCCAATAGAACAGCGTGATGCAATTATTGCAAATAGTTTCCGTGTCCATATATTTGAGCATTGCTCTCTTGTTATTAATATTCATTTTATAAGTATATTTTGAATTCAAATTTGTATGACTCTTATGAATAAAAGTATACAAAAATAGGCTATTGATACTCGGGATGAATTCAATTATACCTTTTTGTCAATAAATTAGATTACACTTGAGTTTTCAATCCGTCCACTAACAATCCTAAATAGCTTTAGACCGACGCATTTATGTAGGTAGATTATTTTTGAAACAAGAGATCAATGCTTAAATATATGGAAACCAATTTCAAGCAATATCAAGAAATTTGGCCAAAGGTGAAAGTAATTGTACCGAATGTCATATGAATGTGTCTTCGTGAAAAGAGCATAATTTGATGTGAATGAACGGGTCCCGAAAGACTCATTTTTTTTTTAAATAACTGTAACAGACTTATACTATATTTAATTTGATCTATTTCAAAAATGTTTGAAAACGCTGACGTCGCCATAAGTTTCTAAACCTCACTGTCAATAAAAACATGTCGCAGCGATGATAATGCATTCTAATACACTTCTGATTTTTGCTCTCACCATCCATGGCCATTCTACCAAAAACCTTCTTGGCAGTCCTCTGGGATAACGAGAGTTTGGCCCTTGTCCGCACTTTCCTGTGAAAACCATTTTATATATTTTTACGTCACGCCAAACGAGAAATCAGCCGCCAAAACACATAATATTATTAGTCCAAGTTGTAACTGAAAATATTTCATAAGATCTCGGCATTTACATTGAACATTTCACACTATGTATCCAGCCATTGTAAGTGTAGCTATTGTGGATTCAGACGTTCAAGGTATCAGCTCTTTTAAAGCTGTTTCTAGATGTCGTTAAATATTGTAAACGGAGTTTAAACTAACTATTGAATATTTTCGTCAGCTCTTGCTTGGGTGAGACTCAATCGAGGTGCTTATCTAATCACGTCTTTTATTTACTTGTTAATTAAGAAATAAACACTAATCGTGAGTAATCTTGCAGCATTCATACCGGTTGAAATATTTTGTTGTGATGTTCTTGTAATCAAGACAGCTATCAACGCATTCATGACTTCCCGGTACATTTTTACATTTCTGTGGTTTTTGGCATGGCGTTGTTGAACATTTAGTTGAACCTATAACGGTCACGGTACTATTTATATATAGTGTAAAAAAATTGGTGACCTATTAAACCTTTTTAACTAACTGTATGTTGGCTTACCGCAAAACAAAACTCAAGTTGCAATTGGCTTATTATACGAGATATACAAACAAATAAATTAAATGGAAAATAGGGTTTCAATGAATTTTTGTTTTTAGTAACAATATAATCTTCTATTCTGTCCTATTCAATACTTGCAAAATATAATGACAATTCCACCTCTTACACTAGACTTTTCGTCGTGTTGTATCAAAATTAGTCGATTACAAAATAAGAGTGCAATGTTCAAATATATAGACAGACACGATCGTTCACCCCAACGAGAATGACAACAGCAATAAATTTCTCATATCGATTCACAGGTACATTTCTCATACAATAATATAAATCAATATCGGAAGATTTTACGACTTTACTTACCAGAAATCTCTACAATTAGAGTGAGACTCAATACCAGAAGAGCATACCTTTGAATAATGTTAAAATATTTTGTAATGCTTGCAACAACACAGTCAAAAATGATACGCGCGTTAAAAAAATGTTTGCGAGGGATAATGTCCGAGCTGATTAATATCAACACTTACACTCGTTTGCAACACAATGTTCTTTAGACCGATACAAAACTTGAGGCGACGAGAAACTATTTGAAGGACTAAAATTGAGCTATAGCTGCAATTGTAAAGGCATATTATTAAAACAAAATTTCCTATATCAATATTTGATTGTTAACTCATTTATAAATTTGCGCCTCAACATCAAGATGTGTAAATCATATATATCTTAATACAAATATCCAGCGCAAATATTCTTTTGCAATAAACTACAATATTCGAATGAAAAATAATAATTTTACGAGATCTTCTACTGACAATACTAGTAGCACTAAAAAATTTTCAGTGTATAATAAAACTCTTACCTCGAATTCAACAATTCCATACTAAATAATATTCGGAGCTTACAAATATTGCTGTATAAATCTGCATACATATTTAAGAATCAAATTCTTGATTTTATAAAGTTTAATATTCAAATTATGTCTTTGGGAAGTATAATACTCCACATTGTGAAATTTATGAATTGTAAATATCTAACAGATAAACGATTAACCACTGATTACAATTTTTCACTAAAGTCTTAGGACTTAACATATTTACATTAATGGCAGAATTCAGCTACTTTTTCTGAAAACAAAAATACACTCTCAATCAATTTATTTAATGACAGTAAAGACATGATTAAAATTTTGCGCCAACGGGCATTTGATATAATTGGCACGGAGGTTTTTGGAATTCGAAACTGACTGCTGACAATTGTCAAGAAGCATTTCTAAACTTTCCGTTTATAAATTGAGAAAATCAAGTATTTTGCAGCTTTACTTTCGCTATCTAAAAATAGTTATCGAATGGATTGTCATGAAATACTTCAGTCTGGACAATGCCCATCATCCTCTAACACTCACACAACTCTTCAGCAGTATGACTTTGTCAGAAGGGCTGAGAAGTCGGAAATTTTTTCACCCGACTCCAATCTTTGTGACCTTTTAAAAACCACGCATATTCATAATTCCGGCTCTTGTTTGACAAAATGTTGACTTGATTCCGTCTCCCGTTTGAAGAAAATTGCATTAAACATCGATTCCAGCTTGTTGGGCAAAAAGATCACGGGAAGGACATATTTGAGTGTTTGTAGTGGAATTTATTGAACTTGACTTTGGGGAATTTTGTACAAAGATTTTTAGCATCAAGAATTTATAGATAATGAACATATCATAAAATTATCCTGTTTCAGAAGTTGCCGCACAAATTGGCCAAATCGCACTTGAAGAAATCATATTTCCTGATATATTAAAGAATTTCACAAAGTTGCAATTATTACTTCACTTGAACAAAATACGTTCTTAACCTTTAAATTTTCAGATAAGTGTGATCCATATATAATGTTCTGCCCTAAACAAGAGGGGAGAGAAAAGTAATTTTGTAATAATTTTAATACGCCGGATTAATACATTTTTGAATTTTCCAAAATTTAGCACACCAATAGTAACGTTCAACTGTTTAGTAGAAACACAGATTAAATTTGAAATATATAATCAAATCTTTGGTAAGCTCATACCTCAACAGCAACATTCTATTAATCTTTCTACATAACAAAAGAAAATTTTGAAGGCTTCCAAATGCCGGATAATGAGACTATCAATATCAAATTGTTTTATTCAATATTCAAATCAAGCTATTGTTTATACCTCGCGTAATGCTATTCGCGTAGAATGGCATCGGTATATTTTTGGTGTCAGAAATCTCAATGAAGCAGCTCAAAAATGTTAACACAGCTTTATTACTTTAAAATGACTCTTCAAAAATATCACATACACAAATATCCTGCCTTAAATAATTTTTCAATACTCATTCGAAAAGAGTAAAAACCTATAAGCGGCACGTGGTTTATTTTGGTGAATAAAAATGATAGTTTTCTCTATGTGGGCCAATTTGTGAGCGCCAACTCTCCAAAGCACGCCCAAAATTAGCGTTGAAAATTTTGCAATAATAAAGTATGGGGAGAATATTTCAAGGGTCGGGGAAACGTCCATTGCATTTGCCTTATCAGAGTGGTAAGAGTGATTGTCACGTCATAATTGTATTGTTATATCATGCTGTATTTGTAAACAAGACGTCATGTTGACTTGCGCATTAGTTTGGCTAAGCAGGAAAGAAAGTTTGGACAAGTCTATCTGCTTACAAATCCTATTTAATCATCGGTGCAAAAGCCATCAAAATAATCTAGCCAATTGCGTCTTCGTGGTTATGTGAAAACGGATTATCTGCTATCGCTGAAATTAAAAGCAAAAAAGGGAGCGGCGCAACCTCGTTTCAATTGTTTCTCAGAACAGGCACACACATCGCAATAACATTTGCAGAATAATTTATTGAAAGTTAACTTCATTGTTTTACAAGAGTGGCGCACAATTTTTTTTAATTGCTCAGTGCGCCGCAAGCAAAAACGTTTGAAAACCAATTATAATCTAATTTCTCTATAGTGCACGTTCGGTTGAATTTTGACGTCTTCAATTGTCGTTTTCAGTTATAGGGATTTGATGTTCTTTAAATGAACAGCATTGTGCAATAGATGTAACTGCTACCTCTGCTATTAAGAAATCAAGCTTGACTTTTGCGCAAAGTAGGCTCCTATGTATGGGATAAGAACCAACGAAGATAACTGTCAACTGCAATTGGTTTCTGCGCAATTTTTAAAATCATGGTTTGATACGACTCCAAACATACGGACCGACGGTTACACGATGATCTCGTTACTTTCTCTCGAGGTTAACAAGGCTAAAGAGTGCTAAACAAATTAATTGCTAGCCCAGTACTTTTGAGTCCTCGATCTTCTGATCGGCTTGAATCCCGAAACTAGGGCAAGATTTCGAAATTACCGAAACTATGTGTACTATTAATGCATTTGCCGTGCAACTCTGGATCATCAATTAGGCCCTGACCCATATTTCCTAAAAATACAAGCATTGTTGCTTTGTATTTTAGGATGATAAATGGATCTTAGTCTCAGTAGCGTTTTCTTTTTTACCCTAAGCATAGAACCGTTCGGCAGGTTCAATTGGACGAGATGCTTGTTTTTGTCATTTTATGGCTTTGTTAATTCGCCTTTATTCAAGTCTGACCTTCAACTGTGCAAGTGCGTACATACCATATAATATCATTCATTTGTGTATGTGTCCTCATCGAGTGTGAATAAACTGCAGAAAGGATATATTAAAAGCGCAATTTGGGCTTTTGAGCTTCGTGAACTTCAGAATAATTAGAGTAAGTTTATTGAGCATTGGTCGGTCAAATCAACGTGAACGTTGACATCGGGCAGAGGATACCATTATTCGACCATATATAAAAGTGAGCCAGTTCCATAAGCATAAGCACGTATAGACAGTCTACTATCCCATAGTCAAACACAGCTGTTGTCTCTAAGGTAAATATATGGTCAACGAGTCGTTTATATAATTTTAAAGAGAATGCTATTACCTAGCAGCCTATTTGTTTTTAAAGAAAAAACTTCTGATATTCACAATACAAGATAGATTGAAATAGCTGAATTACCGCTTTTTAAATCGTGCGATGGTCAGCAGACAACTTGCGCAGTTTCCAAAACAGAAACGTTTAAAAATATTTCAGTGCACGCGTCAAGCAATTATTTGTAGTAATTTGATTATATGCCCGCCGGTGTAAAACTTTTAACATGGCTTTACTCGCTTTAATTGAAATATTAGTCAGGTCAGGACACCGTGTTTTAGTATACGTGATAGAAAAATATAAATATATCAAAATTTAAACATTTTTCTGCCATATATTTAGTTCATATTTGATTATGAAAACGAAATCTCTTAATGGCAAACGAAAACGATACAAAAGCAATAAGGGAAACTTACATAATAGGATTTCTAGAAGTTACGCAACGTGCATGACATCAGCATTCGTTTAGCCGTGTTGCTTCAAAATTTAGTAGAAATGGGTAATTCTATAACAATTCGAATTTAATATTTACATACGTCAAAACGTGATCATTGTGTAACGAAACTTGGGAAATTAAAAAAGATTCCCCAATGGTATCAATAGAAATTGGGCCTCCTGAAGTATGCGCACCAAGATGGCGCACAACCTGAACTCAGGTTGTGTACCAGGTTAGGGTTCAGGATATGCGACATCTTGGTGCGCATACTTCAGGAGTACCGAAAAAAAATGCAAATTTATTCATTTTAGATAAACAGTTCTCAAAGGAGATAGTCGAATGTAAAACTATATAAAAACTTCAACTTCCGATAAATGATATTATTCAAACATTCGGAGGAATTATAAATTTCTACACATTATAGACCAGTGGTTCTAAACCTTTTATGGTTCTTGGCCCCCTTCCGGCGCCTTTTTGCTCTCGTGGCCCCCCTGTACGTCATTCCAAAAACTAAACGTGTTGGATTGTATTATGCTTTTACGACCTTTTATGGAGTGCAAAAACAAACCACAGACAAGAAAGTCCAAGCTTTTTAGTATACAATGAATGGGAATCTTGCGCTTGGGATTGTCTGACGAGGTTCCCTGATATTTGGCACCGTGTTTGATATAGCCAGACGAATGTCACTATCAACTAGGGTTGCCAACCATACTTTATTCCAAAGGACGAACCTTTAATTAAGCTTTTCGGTCCTTGTCCTTTCTAGCATTTGGAAAAGATGCTTACTCTCCTTTATTCGTCGTTCTTAAATAATCGCCTCCATTTATGTATTTGCCAGCTTCTAATTATTCTTTTAAATTTCGCTTTGGTCCGGCTCAAATAACCCAAGAAATAACAATTTTATTAACATTTCAAATATTTATATTAATTTTCCGAAAATGGCAACACTTCATGATTTGAGTAAATACTAGTTCAATAACTGAAAATTCTACGTTTAATTGGTCTCTATGACTTCCACAATCCAACAATGCTGTTTTTGTAAATGTCTATATATAAATACACTCGCTAGGAAGCTGATATTGGCTGGAGAGCTGTGTAAAGTCTGAGTAGTTTAACGCACTGTTGCCCGAGCTAGTTCATTTTTCTGTGGCCCTTAAACGGTTAGATTATTCCACAACATTGCAATAACGTATTTGGAAAAAAAAATGACTTCGATGATAATTCAACATTTGAAATTTTTTTTTTTCGATAAATCTTTTTCCAAAATATCAGACACTTGTAAAAATTGTAGAGTATTTGAAGCTAAAAGACAAACTTAATTTGAATATGATTGACTATTTGATAAAGTTGCACTCATTTAAACAAATTTTGGCACGATTCAAAGCACTAAACTGTTTACAGAATGCAAAACAACAAGCAGTAAATTGCACTTCATATTGAAATGTTTTAATCTTAAGTGTGTTATCGTTTTCAAAATAGTTTCATTTGTGGTCTCAATTTGCGGAACCTCAACTTCTTGTGACCGCATTTTTTGTGTAATGTTATCTAAATGGCGCAGTGAAAGGAACAGATGCTCCATTAGGGCTGGGCATTTCGAATCGAATAGTAAATTATTCGAATCGGTTCAGCGCTAAATTTCGAATTGCTGCGATCTCATTTTTTCCCTTCTGCCAATGGTCGAGGTAAATTTCTCAATTTTTATTTTTAAATCCTATTTTTTCAGCAAAATTCTGACATCTGACTCTTTTCTGTAGTGAGTTATTGATGAAAACGTGTATTGTGTGTGAACGTTCAGCAATCTGTCTGAGTGATGCATTTTACGTTTCCAGTAATTTAAGTGTCTTGTGGGCCCAATACAATGAGAAAATTACATACAATTATATATCTCCCAAGTATTCAAGATTCGATTCGATTCTGAAATCATCAGGTATTCGAAAGTGCCTTGCCCTATGCAGCTCCATACAACTAATGAAAATTGAACTTTTAATATGAAAGACATGTATCGTGAATTTTCGGAAAAAATAAAGCGTGATCCACAATTGCTGGAGTCAGCAAAGGGTCGGAAGAAATATAACTTTAAGAAATATAAACTTATGCAACTGCAAAATTAGAGCTTGTTTGGTTCAATGTTAATCAAACATTAAATGAAAAACACATGAAGATTTTTTCACTATATCTTTTTAGCTTGTATTTCATTGTTTTATATTGTTCTTTTCTGCAAGTTACAAAATAAATGTTGACGGTAATCTATGTTCTTCTAATCTATTCAAACTTTTCATAGTTGTCAACCCTACTGTCAACCTTGATACGGTTTTGATGCTAACAAGATCAGAAAAACCAGATTCGCACAAATAGGTTGTGACAAATTGAACAAGCAGAAACCGATGTCAACGTTTTTCCCCTGCGTATGATTTTTGTCACTTTACTTTTGGAGTTAAGGTGGACGTAATGATTCACTGCTCATTACATACGAGTAATGCAGGCGTTGAATACATTCTATGTAATATCAAACTTTGATTTTTACTCGTTAACGTTAACACTAGAAGGTATTATGTTATCAAAGTTTTGAAAAGTCATATACCGTAAAGACGCTGCTGGTTTTGTTACGTCCTATATAGTAATTATACTTTTTTGTTAGAACTAAGGAATGTCTACTATACGAGACCGCGATTAACACGACGCCCCAAAATACCGAGGCCAATACACGAGAAAAATCTCTATTGAGTGTGAACGTATTGATTTTATTTCTCGATAGTTGTTTAGTTCATTTCAGGGGAAGTTATTTATAGTCCCGTTAGTATAACTGAAATCTTGAAAAAAAAAATTCAGAAAATTGCGGACTAGGTCCATACTCTCGTTATCCCGGAGGCCTACCAATAATATTTCTCAAGCTATGGCTATGGATGGTAAGAAAAAAACGAAAAATAACATAATATAAAATAAATTAACTGACTCTAAGTAGGTAGTCGAAAATCCTATTCTCCGCAGCTTTTTTAGCAATTACTATACTGTAGTTCAATTTGAAATCAGAACGTAGAAACTTATAAACAACGGCTACATCCCATAAAAGGCATTTAGCATCACGATTTAAATCAACCCGGATCAGATATTTTGAAAATATTTTATTATCTGTTGCTAGGCAAATGATCTCATTGACGTATATTGTTATTCATTAGGAAATTCCTTTAGGTTGTCGTTGCATTGTCGTCGGTAGTTGTGCCCTAATTTTCGTAAAGTATCATGCGCTGAGGGATAAATCTTGTTTTCCAATCAGAAAAAGACATCAATAGACACAAAACAGAAAGAAAAAAATAGACGAAAATCAACACCTGAACGAAAAAGCGCGAAGACGGCAAGTGCGGCGCGCATAACTTGGAGCACTTACTTTCCTTCTGAAAAGCGGACCACTGTAGGAAAGCTCAGTCTCACCACCAAGGAGTCCCAGAAAAATAACGCGTACCCTAAATTACAGAATAAACTATTGAAGTGTTTATCGTGTGTCTGGTTTGATTCTTTTTGAGCGTAGTTTGATTAGACTCCGAAGAAATGATTCGAATAGCATAGCCTTTTTTTGTTATAACAAACTCTACATACATACGATAAATAATAACTGACTTGAGTCAACATGATTGACGCCTAACTGCTGCAATATTGGCTGGTGACGTAGATTCAGATTTGAACCTGGTTTGGCGAAAATAATTACAACAACAACGAGTGCAATAAACTTTGTTCACAGAAGTATCAACTGATTATAAAACGCCTTAGCAGACAAATCATTTTGTTTTGAAAAATTCAACAATTGCAATGAAGATACGTCAGTAATTGCGAAAAAGCGTTAAACTGTATTGATATAACATAAACATATGAAATAAATTTTTTATTCACAGCATGGAAATTCAATTTTTATGGCAAATATTGCCCAATTGCAGAATAGATACGTCAGTAATTGCAAAAAAGCGTTCAACTGTAATGATATAACATAAACAAATGAAAATAAATTTTTTATTTACAGCATCGATATTTACATTTTTATGGAAAAAATTGACATATTGCAAAGTAGATGTTTAGTAATTACGAAAAAGCGTTAAATTGTATAATTATAACATAAAGACGTAAATAAAAATCGTTTTTTATAGCATTGATATCAATACATTTTTATCAGAATGCAACGTAAATTGGCATATTGTTTATTATGTTATGTAAATCACGTTTAATAGTCCGATGTATTTGATAAGCTCTATCGAAGAAGAAATAAAATACTTAAATACTGGTGATGTTGATTTTATCAGTTGTTAGAAGTCGTGGTAGTCACGCCAGCGTCTACAGCGGAAGCCGAAGCCTCATGAAGGCACCAACTATAGCTGGTATGGCAACAGATGCAACTGGAATAACATAGTCTTTGACAAATTTGAAGCATTTACGAAAAAAAGAGTTGTTTTTTTCGTTCCATTTTTGTGTAACAGAATACCTATCATTTAGACCCTGCTCAGTTTCCATAATGTATCTGGTAGCAATAGAAGAATTGCCAACAGCTGTTTTCATGTTGATCAATAGATTATTTACAACTTCTGTATGTTTTGCAAATAAATTATCATTTTCCATGTAAGTGTCTTTGAGAAGCTGAAAAATATTTAGTTTTTCTCACGGTATTTGAACATGGTTACTCAGATAAAAGCATTATGAGCGGACAAAGGTAGCATTGCAAATAGACAACAATTTTTTTTTTCTAGCAATATGTTTCAAACGAGTTTCATAAACATCAATGTCGTATAAATTATGCCGCGCACCAGTCCAAAATATATATTTCAGCATTGCTTGAAGAATGTTGTTTTACCTTATTGTTTATCGGGGACTTTGAATGGATATCAATCCTAAATCATTTAAAATGAAAAAATCTATGAATTGTTTCTTTATTTTGGTTTGATAATGAATTTACCTGTGAAAAATATTCTTCGTATGCACAATAAGCTTGATTCTGTAGTGTCTCCAGTTGCTTTTCCAGATTTGCCTATGTTAATAAAGTTAAAGACATACCAATTCAAATTAGATATAAGTGTGAAACTTCTAGCGTAGGTACTCCTTATTTAATGGTAGAGAAATACATTTCCGTACGTTAATCTATGATACTATCATGTAATGTATGGGAGAATTTTGCTATCTCAGCCTTCTGATATTTGGTTTTAGTGCGACATTTATATATGGTACCACTACCAAGGATAGTATGATCAGTTATATTTGGACAGGAGATTTGTGCAAACAGAAGAGGATGAAACTCATAAGTTACTGTAAAACCAACTATACGTATAAATTAGTTGGATAATCTCACAAGAATAAATAAAAACGTTGCGTACGTTACTCATTTGCTGCGGTCGTCTAACGTCTAACATAAAAAATAAGATCGGGGTTGCATTTTTGAATCTATCCAGTGTGTAGTCAATGCAAGCAATCAACACACAATCAGAATACACATACCGTCTTTTCGGAGTTTATTCTCTGTATTTGGTTAAATTCGTCATCAAGTTTATCTTCAAGGCCTTTTACATGTTTTTTCCATATCGACGAATTTTCTGATAATCCATGCTCCAGAACTTTTATCTTGAGCGAGTCAATCAAGTCTCTTCGTCGATCGGCACCAGTTTTCTGTAAGTCGTCTTCAGATGCATATTCATCTACCATCTAATTTGATTTATAATAATAGTATCAAACACTTAAATAGAAAACAAATTTACCAATGTACAAAACCAAACATAAATGACATAATATGCAATAAGTCACTGTTTGCCAAAGTTACTTTATTGCTAGACGCTGGTACATTGTGCAATAAGCATATTTACTCTCGTCGTTTCACCTCCGACGGAAAACTAAAACAATTTATCGAATACTTGTTCCGATATCCGGCTCAGACTGGTAATCGGGCGTGATGCGTGGTTCGACATTTGACTAATACATCTGATTAACTTTTTTATTTACTGTATGTAAATACGAGCAACCTTACTCTATTCTATTGACAAAATTGTAATTGGTCGTTTACCTTTCGCAGTTCTCCTCTGTATTGCATCGAATATTCAAGCCGCATCTTCAGTAAATGCCGTTCCACTCCATTCTACAAGTGAGAATAATATTCAGCCCACTGCAACACGAGTGTTTATTCAATATCAAAGCATATATTTCGCAGTTAGTAGCGTTTTTTCCCAAAACACACAAATAAAAACAACTATACGTTTTCGGTTAAGTAGTATATATAATATTAATCACATAGCGTGTTGGGGTGCTGTTGCTTTACCAATTTCTACACTGCATTTGACAGTGAATAATAAGTAAAGTATTAATAAACAATGTATTGAAATTACAACATTCACATTACATATGTCAAACGTAACATTTATAATGGATATAAAACAATGGTCGTGGTCGACAAAAGCTGCAACACAGTGAATTGTAAAAATACAATTGTTATGTTGATACAGTAACCGATTAAATCATCGAAACTAAAATCATATCATTCAAAGTTTGCACTGCCTAAAAATGTATTGTTTAATGTATTCCATTTCCTCCTCACATTAACACGGATGAAAATAGAAAGACATTTACTTGTTCTTCAGCAATTTTCATCTTATCGTCGTTATCTTTCTTGATGATATCGTGCACTCTCTCGATTCTATTTTGTAGTTTGTCGAAGTATCGGCTTTTCTGCTCTTGATTAACGTTTGAGTCGGCAAAAAGATCGTACGCTTCGGTGGTGAATAATATATTCATATTCTCCAATTCTTTTTCAGTCAGAACCTTGCTTCCTTCGATCGCCTTTTTTTCGGAAAAAGAACATCAACAAAAGAAGTTTTAGTAAAAATGATGAAGGCCGTGGCACACTAAAATATTGAGCAGATAACGCGTAGGCCTATAGACGACTTGTTCTTTCTTTATATTAAGTTTCATATTCCTTTCAATCTTCTAAGTCTAAGTAATCCATCATCACAAAACAATGACGACGCTGTCTATTAAAGAGAGAAATTTAGAGTTGGGAATTTGGTTGTGAGCCTGGATTAACAATAGTACCAATTAAATGTGAAACTATTTGTGTGGCGTTTCCGTTGCGAATTCTATTGAATTGATCAAGTCCACAAACAAACATCGTTTATTGTGTAAAAAATTAATACAAAATGTCATAAATGCAAATATGCTGATCCAAACCTGTCTCATATTATCTTCATACGTATCTGTCAAATTTTGAATCAAAGTTAACACTGACGATTCCGACTCAATCTGAATATATCAAATAAATAGTTGAAATATTTATATGAAATGAATAAATGAAAAAGCTTCACGCCTAACAATTACAGAAAAGTTTTAATGATTCTCATTAATTGACAAATTAAACTTTACACCGGTGGTTCTTAACCCTTTTTCTTCCGTGGCCTACTTTTGTAGCACAAAAAATTCCTTGGCCCATTAATGTTCTTGTGCAAGAGGAAAAAAGCATAAGAAATCAAAAAATTGTTCTTGTATAGTTAGGCACCTCCACTTCAATATTTAAGATGAAAATTACCAAAAATAAATCAAAAAAAAGCATTATTCTTCATTTTTATCACAATCACATTTACCTCATTTTTCAACAAGTCTAACAATTCGTGGCCCATCTGAAAATGTTCCTGCGGCCCAGAAGTAGGCCATAGTGCACTGGTTGAAAACGGGGGATTTAGACAGATGCATGGATATATTTACGACGACGACAGACTGGATTGCAAGTTATGTCATGAACAATGTAAAAAAGAAGTCTGTACCTCGGAAATTGTATATCTCAAGTACAACTGAAATCCAAAATCAAGATTATACTTCGTAAGAAATTACCTTGTTGCTTTTGTTAAGTTGTCTCAAAATGTCGTATTCTCTGTCGATAGTATGTATCAAATATTCCCGATATTTTTGTCGACTTTGCTCACTCCCAAACCTTGTGAATTCTTCAAATTCACGCATTGCGTTGCTTTTAGCCTGTTCGTGCATTTCCGCAAAAAATTGTTGCTCGACAAACTTGTCTCCAAGAACCTTCAATTTTCAGTAATAAATCCAGTCACAAATTACATATATATACGTTTGTTCGAGACAAATAATCGAGGTCTTGTGCCAAAAAATCATAGCTACAAATCCAAGCTTTCATTTAAACTAGAGCTAAGAGTTAAAATAAAAGGATGATGGCATGTGTCTATCTGTTGAATTTGTTCGATTTCCAATGTTTTTAACGTCCTTTGCACACAGAATTGGTAAATTTAAAATTGACTTTCCAATATTACAGATTTCGAATGTTGGTATCTTTCAAATTTATCCGCACCAATACAGTCGAGTCTCAATTTATCCTATTTGTCACCTTGCTTGAGTTATTTCAGTTGGAGGAATAATATGATTTGCTACTGTTTTATTTCAGGCATTCAAAAAAAACTTACCTCTCTCATAATACTTGTATAGTTCTCACCACAACGCCTCTGGGACTGTAAGTTTTGAGCTTCTGCCACGTTCTATAAAGAAAATCAATACAATAAAAATCTCACTCGGTGGTATATGACGAAGAAGGTTGTAATGTCTTACAAAATCAAACAAACAATGCCAACTTCAGTAGTTGTTGTATTCTATGATTTCATTATTTTGATAAAATTTATTATTTTGATATTTAAGAAACCCACAATGTCTGTAATTGTATAAATTTTATATCAATGCTTATGTTTTTACCTCCATCATAGTTTTTGGATTGGGTAGTTTTCCGTCTGTTAAACTGTTGCCACAATCTAACACGTATTTAAGAATTGTAAGTGAAGTGACATCTTTTCCATTAATCTTCTTGACAACGAGATTTTCAGGCTTGAATATATTTTCAGTGAGTGCAACTGCTTGTTGTACAAATGCTCTGTCAATGTCTGTTAACATATACAAAACATAAGTAAAACTAGTTTGTCCCCTTATTTACAGGTCCACTCACTCTGATTCAGAAACTGAAAGGATGTTATAATAGAAATATTTTCAAATATTTTGTTTTTGAGCAAGCTTTTGAACTTTCATAAATAATTTCTGACGCGAAAAATGATTTCTGAGACTTAACGCTTATCATATGTAAATTGCTATGATGAATGGACTTGAATTGTAATCTGCTCTAAAAACATATTAAAAATCAGATAACAAATGTCGAGCATATGCTAATGCTGCACCGCGAATTCCTCGCGAATTTGATCTTTGTGTCCAAGCTATTGAACATTGCTATCCTGTTTTTTTGTATAAAATATTTTCTTGTCGAAATTCCCATATGTTATAAAGTGACGGAAACTTTCAGCGAAATAATTTATAGTACATAATCGATAACATTAACTTGATGTAAAGGTCATCATATTCTTTGCGTCAACTCTTATTTTCTAAAATACATAGAACTAAAATTAGTTGACCCAGAATATATTGCTTAATTGTATTCAACAATCATGAGAAACAGGTCTCTATTTGATAATTTGAAGTATGAATCGTTTTGAAAAATTTATATTAAGATTTATATGGTTGCTTTTTGGACAAAAATTGTCTTTTTAACTATTATACTAATGCTATACTTTTACTTTTTCAGTAGTTAGCAATCGAATTGTTATCAAGGAAGCAACCGTAGTAGTCTTCCACATTACCATATGATTAATTACCCTTAGGTCATATAATGCAGCCTATACCTTTCATTTTCCCCTTGAAAGCCATCGTTCCTGCGACAGTACTTCCCGGGTATGGCATAAGACAACATCTTGTATCATTGAAACTTGAATTCAAATGTTGCCTGACCGCCTTAAGTTCTTCACTTGTTGACGAATCACTGGATAAAATTTTTCGAAGATATCTCTTTCCACCGCTCATTCCGTATTCTATTTGCTCCCCCCATTGCCAGTCTCGCACAAGGAAAATCAATGTCTGAAAAGTGAAGTGGAGTGCATTCATTCATTCACATATAGTTGAATTTAGTATGGCGTGAAGAGTTAAAAAGACACGCTAACTTTGTTGTAGATACGACTATATGTTAACCATAACTATCGAAGATAACTATCTTACCTGAAACGGCTTGATATTTTTAGCACCCTCAGCCTGTCTTGCTGCTTGAGCATAAGCGGTGAAGAACTTGAAAGAAAGAAATATGTACATTTGGAAGCTTTGAAATAGGGATGCATCATATTACACATCGATTACACACTTGTAAAAATAAAAGTGCCAGGAAATAGCTTGCAATATGTCAGTGTTTTGAAGCAAAGCATTCGTATGATTAAATTCAATCAATTTGCCTATGTTTTGTGAGGCACTCATTTCCAGTAGCCGATACCAAAAACGTCCACTTTGAATATTACTTTTCAACACGGATAAAATATGACGATTATTTTTATTCATAAAATTTTACCTGGAGAAACCCCAAGTCACTTTCTTGAATTTGTTGACTCAAGTTGAATATTTGGACTGAACTTATCAACGTGCTGAGAGCAAATATCAATGTGTTTGTTTTATTGTCAGTTTTATTGTCAAAAAGGCCCTGTGTATCCATCAACATAACTGCAACCTGTGATAATACCACATACCATTATTCAACAGTTGTTTGAAAATATTGTTTTTGTTATTTATCGATATATATTGTTTGTCGTCTGATTTTAGTACTCGAAATAGTGATTGATTCCAGCCAGCGAGCGCTTTACTGTTGATACATGACGTTACCGACTTCGTATTCAAATATTTGATCATAGATTATTTGAAATTGTTGTGAAAGCGCCCTCAACTGAATTCATTTTTTGTAGTTCGGTATTTTCATGCTATATTATGCTACATCACATTTGCACAAGACATTATTATGAGGAAAAAAAACGCCTAGACTGCATTAAATATGTGAAATGTAAATTTCAGTATTCAAAATGAAATCTATATAAGTTATTGTTTCCTGCCTTTCTAGTCAATATTCTTGTTCATTGGGATGTAATTTAAAATAGACAGAATGATTTATAGGTGCCACTTTTGTATGCAATCTCACACAAAGACATTTTTGCAGAATTCAGTTCCTAACTGTAACTAAAACTACACAACCGTCGAGATCGCATACCAAATGGTGTCGATTTATATATCTGTGGCAAAAGTTGACGATATGAGCACTTTTTCTGCGACGTATTTTCGGAAGATAGCTCAAGAAATAAATGAGGTTTGAAATTCAACCGTATTAATTATATATAGATATTTTATAAATGAAAAATATCTTACATCTTCCCCGTTTTTTTTCACGGTGAAAATTTGGTTCCAGATTAGAATGCCGTTTGTGCAGGCATTCATTCCACCCTTCCATTCGAAACCATCTTGAAGAGGCTCAGTTACAGATCCTAGCCAATTGGGATTTTTATACTAAAACATAAAGCATATGTTTCTGAAAGTTGATGAAAGTGTGTACACCATCCAGTCATTTAATCCTACTTGGCGTAGTCGAATAATAATTCTAATTGTACGTACATGAATATATATATATATAAATAAATTTTAGTTAGTCGTTATACTTACCCCTTGGTTTCTTAAATAACGTAGAAAGAAATTCAGCATGAATGACTTCCCCTTTCGAAATGCTCCAGCTATGGAAACAATACAAACCGGCTTGTCTTGTACATCTGGATGACGGAATATGTGAGTCAAAGCAACGTGGTCGAGTTCAATTGCACCATTGCCTTTGCATTGCATTATTGGAACAGCATGGCCCGTATCTGTATATATACAGAAGATGGAGTTTGAATGGTCTCAGTGAAAAAAACTGTAGTTTCAATCTGGGTTTGGTTTAATTAAATAGCACATTAGGGAAATATTTTTGATATTTGCAACAGAATACTATCTTCTGACTGCAACGCTGAAATTCAAATTCAGATCAACTATCTTTTAAAGACTTTTCGCATGACATGAAGTAACTTGCCAACACCCACATAGAATTCTTAGTAAGCAACTACTGCTAAGTTTTTAGAGGTAAATTGAAAATATAGCAAAAATATATACTTACTAGGTCTTGAGGAAGCCATGCCCTTAACAACTTCTTGCTATGCTTAACAAACGTCTGTCTTTCTGCAATAACCTCCTTACAGTCTTACGTGACGTTGTTGTTGTATACCACTCATATACGTAACTCATAAAAAAGATTGTGTTCACTTCGACAGTCAACTGTAACTTAAGTCGCGCATCTATAAACTCATAAAAATTAAATTCGTTGTCATCACTCAACTAACGACCTTTCAGGCTTACTAGTTTTCTTTTTCTTATAGAAATGAGGAACGGAAGCAATAAAATATACTGAATTCATTATTCTTTGAAACACGCGGGTAGACCTTCGGTGAATCCCCCGGACTTCGATTCTCGGAAGATTTTGAGTTTAAGTAGACAAACACACACATATCGTTTATAGTTGGAACAAGTATAAGATATCTATCTATAAGATAGCTAATTTCAAGCCATAGATATGCTTGTTCCTAAAGCAATAAAATATTGTAGAAATTTTGTCGTTATTACAAGGTGATTTGCGTATCTCTTCCCCTCACATAGAAAAGGGAAATATCCCTGATAGGAGTATCCTAGGAAACATCGATGCACGAATAAATTCAAATATATATATATATATATATTATAAAATTGGGTTAAATGAGACTCAAAGCATTGCAAGTCTACAATGTATTAGTGAAACAGCTAGACACAAATGAATTTAAGAACATAAAAGTTTAATAACTTCGAAATTTTATCGATAAATAAAATGCCATATAATACAAACTATAGACCTCACTAAAACATTTTTAAATCCGATGATCCAAATTTAAATTCAATCAAACGACCAACAATCGTTAAACAGGCATTTTTGGTGTTTGCAAACTTGATAGCCATTTTTCGTCATCCAATATTGAAGTCGATGCATCGATTGGTTGACAATGACCATACTTGAGTATAAGATATACTTTTGAGTTCGCTTGTTTCACTTTCAAGATTTACTTTAGCAGGAGAGGACTAGCATTGCACGATCAGGATTATGCGGTGACTTAATGGTTTCATATATCTGATACGAAAATCCTTTTGAGGCCTAAGGGGATGGGTTTAAATTGAGTTTTCATAATTACGTAAAATGTAATTGCAATTTATATGTGCATACGGTATGTTAAATATATCATGACAATTTAATGATTAACACGTTTATGCATATCAACGTGAAATGGTACATTACTGTGAGGTCCTATAATGAAATACCTTTGTTACGTATTATCTAGCGCTTCTGCAACTTTTTTGAACCACCGAGTCCGAATCAAAATATAACAGTAAATCAAATTGTTGAAAACGAGAATATATAGCTTGTAACGCAGGGGTCGGCAACCTACGCCCGCGGAGCAATATAATCCGGCCCGCGACGCTTCACTGAATTATAGTAACAAAACAGCTGTTTTGTCGATTATATTATTTACGCAAAAGAATTTACGTGTAGACTAAATTATATTATAACGTCTTACAAGTATATAGGTCACAATTACTCGTTTAATGAGCCTATAATTTAATTATAATTTAGATAAATGGCAACAAAACGCCGAAAAGTTGATGCTAAGTGCAAATGGTTTAATGGCGCAAAAAATATTCAAATGGTCTTCGCGCGCTGCTTGAAATTTAACCTCTGATCTGTGTGAAAAAATGTGATTCGTCGGTCATCCGTTCGGTTTTTAACTTTCTAAAAATATGTGCGGCCCGTCAATGACTTGCAACTTTTATTTTGGCCCGCGAGCGACAAAAGGTTGCCGACCCCTGGTAACGTTTCCACCAATAAAATATATTTTCACATATTTCATTAATTTTTACTACAGATATATATATCGACGCTATTTGGTATGCGATCTCGGCGGTTGTGTAATCTTAGTTAGAGTTAGGAATGTCTTTGCGTGAGATCGCCTACCGAAGTGGCGCCTATAAATCATTCTGTTTATCTTTATTTTGACTCTCAGTGAATTTGCATATTGACTAGCAGGACTGTATACTGATTTCTTAAGTTGAGTTGAGACTGAACTCAGCTTACAATGAACGAATCATTACCCTGGACCACAAAGTAATCATTACATGTCGATCTCAGTAGGTATGTTGATAGGTATTTATTTGTCTGTCTGTCTGTTAGACACTTTCGTATGTTACGCGATATCTCACGAAAGCGAGGTTGAATCTGCTCCAAATTTTGCATGTGCATTCATATCTCGGACCAAAAGCCTATTAGTTTTGGATGAATTATGTCGTATAATTAGCGATTTATTACCTAATTAGTGATGGGACACGCGGTGTCGCTATTGAGCCAGAGCGAAGGATACACGCCGCTAGATCGATAAGTCGGCGGTCTCCGTTCGCTATTTCAGGCTAAAGATACGCCGTGTCCGCACGTGACGTGACAAACTTTTCACAAATGTATTTGAAATGTCAGGATCAAATAATCAGAAATTAATGCACGAGGGAGCTAAAATTTACGGAGATACCGCGATGCCATTCTACTGTAAAAACCGACTATTGTAACGAACTAACCGACTGTTATGAATTGTTTTATTGTGTACTAGGCAACGAAACGGTTATTAAATTCAGACTCACATCCTTGCTCAGGGGAAATGAAGTGAAACAAGTTCATTCGCTCTACTTACCCTGCCTTGTTTTGTTGTACAATTGCAGTTGCGAACAAGACTAACTAAACTGGTTCAAACTGGATTTCGATTATTGTACGCATTTATATTTTCATTTTCCATGAATTCAACTGAAATTGTAAAAACACTATGCCCAACCAAAGGTACATACTCAATTCTTACAATTTGGTAATGCTTTTATATTGCTTACTGTATTCGTCTTTGATGAATTCGGTCAATATTCAATATGTATTGGAACATAGCTCTATACAGTATGATCTAACAAGGAGCAAAGCGCAGGTGGATGAAGCACAGTGGTCCCTAAACTGGAAGTAAAGACCTCAGTTTGGGTCATTTGAACCTATTTGAGTTGTAACTTACATGTTTATCAGTATTCAACTACTTAATTAGTCATGCCATATCGCCATTTGTATCGGATTAAAATCTGTTGTCTACGATCACGATGCGATTACCCGAATTGTTGCATCATCATGCATATTCAACAGACTTACCTCGCGTGTTTTACAGGAGTCTACAAGTGTTGCTCGTCTGTTTGGCCAGACTGTGTGTGTGGTCTCAGCAACAAAGCCCTATATAATGTTTGTGCAGGTTCAACCCACGTACATTTGAACCCGTAATTTGAACCCACGACAATTGCACCTGCATACAATCGTACCTATAAAAAATTTTTTATGAATATTTGAACCCTAACCCATGGATTTTAGCACCCTCATATGAATTGAACCCGCGGATATACGGGTGCAAATGTATGGGTTCAAATGTACGGTCACCTTTTGTGTAGGCAGGATAGGTAGTATTGAAAACCTCCGAGTTAAATACATTGTAGACTCTGCGACACATTGAGTGTGCGATCATTGAAATACTTTCAACTTGACTCCTTTTAGGAAGACATTGAAAACTTAACAGCAAAATTAAATACTGACTGTTCATTCAAGCGTGATATTGAAAATCATTTGGTACGCTTCTTAAAACTCTGAAATCCGTTGTTGACAAACATACCGCGCTAAGGAAAAAACACGTAGAGAACTGAGATTTGACTAGAAACCATGGTTCACTACAGGTATCAAGAAATCAATCTCTACTCGTAAGCGTTTATATGAAAGTCTTTTTTTTGTCCATCGACAAAACAAAACAAGAAAGATATTACAAAGAATACTCCAACATTCTCACACACATCAAGAAAAGGGCTGAAATGGAATTTTACCAAACAAATTTGAAGAACTAGATAGTGACGCAAAAAAATGGAGTCTCATAAACACAATCATCAATAAGAAACTCAAACAAAAATTACCACGCGAAATAGAGACAGCTCATGGCATCAGATGCAACCCCCAGTCCATATGCCAAGAATTTTACACTTACTCGTACTTTGTAAAAGTTGGTCCTAATCTTGCATCAAAGCTGGCGAATAATTCTATAAATTTCAAGTATTTGGGCAAACCTCAGAAAAATTCAATTTATCTGGAGTATATACTAAAATATGAAATTATTTCTATTGTAAATAAAATGAATACAAGAAAGCGCCTGGTCAGTCTATTCATTTTCTAAAACACATGATTCATATTATTAGAAAGGACCTTACAGATTTCTTTAATTGTATAAAAAAAGGCTGCTTTTCTATAATATTAATTACATGTATATTGTGGTAAATCTAGAGCTAAAACATGCATTAAGTTTGAGTTTGACTGGGGCGGTAAATCTTTAAAATTGTTCCTAACATATGAATAAAAATCTCACGTTAATAGAGTATCTTATGTCCTGTTATATGTGTTTATCAGAGCCCTGTAAATTGTAATCGCGAATTGTAATATGAAAATAGTGTTGTGGCAGGGTAAGTAGAGAGAATCACCTCGTTGCATTTTTTTGTCGCTAAGCAGGCATAAGGTTCGGATTTTTATAACTGTTTCGTTGTCTAGAAAATAATAAGACGATTCATTACAGTCGGTTAGTTCGTTACAGTCGGTCGCTTTTTTACAGTAGAATCAGCATCGCGGTATCCTCGTATAAATTTTAGTTTCCTCGTACATTAATTTCTGAGTATTTGATCCTGACATTTCAAAGACAAAGTGAAAAGTTTGTCAAGTCACGCGTGGACACAGCGTACCTTTACCATAAACTGAATGGAGCCGACAATGGAAGAATAACTTTAGGGTCATGAATAAGGATTCGTTCATTGTAAGCTTAATTCAGTCTAAACTTGAGAATTCAATGTAATTGTATATGGTGGATCGTACAAAAACATGGTGTCGTATATGATATATACTGTTTTAATGAAATATGTGAAAATATATTTCATCGCATATATTTATAGCATTACAGGCTATATATCTTGGTTTTCACCAAGTTGATTGACTGTAATATTTTGATTTGTACTCGGTGGTTTAAAAAAGTTGCAGAAGCGCTAGCTAATAGGTGGCAAAGGTACCTCATTCTAAGAACTCGCAGTAGCTTATGTACCTACCATTGTGCGTTGATATGCATAAATGCGTTAGTCATTAATTATATTTCACATACGCTATGCACATATATTTCACAATTGAGTATTACGCAATTACGTAAACTTTATTTAAACCAACCCCTTTATAAAACCGCAAATGAATTTTTGTATCAGAGTTATAAAACCATTACGTCACCGCATAATCATGATCGTGGATTACTAGTCCTCTTGAAGTTAAACTCAATAGTGGGACAAACGTACTCAAAAGTGTATCATATACTTAAGTATGGTCATTGTCAACCAATTACCTCAACTCCACTGCATCGATTTCAACTTCGAAAATGACGAAAAATGTTTACCAAGTTTGCAAACATCAAAAATACCTGTTAACAATCGTTGGTCGAGTGATAAAATTTACATTTGGATAAGCAGATTTAAAAATGTATTAGTTGGATTCATACATTGTATTATATATTGCATTTTGATAATCGAGAAAATTTCAAAGTTATCAAGCATCTGTGTTGTCAAATTCATTTGTGTCTGGATGTTTCACTAGGACATTGTAGACATACAAATACAATGCTTTAAGTCTCATTTCAGTCAATTTTACTGGTGTAATTAATACAGTAATATACTGTATTAATTACACCAGTAAAAACGAATTTCTTCGGGCATCGATGTCTCCTGGAACACTAATATCGGGGATATTTTCATTTCTAGGTGAGGCGATACGAAAAACTACCCTATATATTAAGACAAAACTTCTGCAATATTTGTGTTGCTTTCGGAATAAGAATATATATGGCTTGAAATTAGTTAAAAATAGCCTAACCTATACTACAGCGTTTCCCAACCTCTTTTGGTCGCGGACTATTTTCTCACCGGGGAAAACCTTTGCGGACTCAACGTGCGTTTATTGCAACCGTACTCTGTGTGAAGAAGTAATAAAACCAAACACAACAGATAACGAATTTCAAAATCGGAAATTCGCCTCAATTCCGCGTTTTTTGAAAGAACCGACTTTTTTAGTGTATAAATGGCCTTTTCTGTCGCACAATATTTAATCCATGACAACGACGAGAATTTAAAATGTCTTTCTATTTTAATTTGATTATGTTTATGGTCACTCGCGGTTGCGTCGACTTATGACAAGATGGAAGCATTAATAATTAATTAACATGCAAAATTTGGAGCAGATTCAACCTCGCTTTCGTGAGATATCGCGTATCATACGAAAGTGTCTAACTCACAAATACCTATCAACATACTTACCGATCGAGATCGATAAGTAATAACACGCGAAACCACGAAGACGAGGCAATGTTTACAACCACCCTTGAATATCTGTCCGAGCGAAATGAGTGCCTTGGCGACTGGATGATTTGCAATTGTTACGTCATTGTTGATTTCTCGCTGACTGTTCATTGTTACAAAAATGACCATGTAAATCGACGCTCGGGAAAACTTTCATTACCGTCTGTTAAACCAGTTTAAGACCTGTCGATGTCGAGTTAATTCGTCGAAGTCGAGTTGATAGATATTCATGAGTCAAAATTGATTAGCATTTCTTTGACTATTGAAAAAATCGATACTGACGCATAGGGAAGCAATAATCCACGCATAATATATGCATTGTCGTCTTCCTCCTTCAATGCGTAGGTCAGGTGATGTTCCATATAAGGCAATCCTTTGATGACGGCGATGTACCTTCACAAAACTGAATAAGCCCAATTATTATTAAAGAAATACAAATTTATAAAAGTGCGTTTCGTATTGAGAACATTATTTCTGAAATATGCGTCATCAAATAAAGATATAAAATATTTCAACTGGAATAAGTGATTCATAGAAACTGCCGAAGTAGGACAAAGTTGATTTATATTAATTGACTAAAATCATATACCCATGCTTTTGTTGAAACTTGATAGTGACGTACAAGGAAGTAATAATCCATGCATATATCTGCAGTACCTCATAACACGTCAATACTGAATAAACGTAATTATTCAGCTGTTATTAGCGTATCAATTGGGAGCGTTATAGACCTATGAGGGTGTGTTCAATGTTGAGGACATTGCTTCTGAATTGAAGCGCCTCGGAGGAAACCTATATAATGAGTGCACACTTCGTATCAACAGCTAGCAAGTCGCTTTAGTTTTAAATCTGGTCCAGTGAGAACCCGGGTATGATTTAGCGAAGGCCGCAGCTAAATAGCGAAGTTTGAAAGCTATATTTTGCAGGCGGTAGTTGCAGCCTGATTGACTACCATTTATTCAGAATGATAACAAATTTATTGAACATATTTTACATTTATATATCATCATAACAATCCGAGAAAGACGTCTGGTGTGACTCGGCAGTAATTTAAAAAATGGATAGCGGAATGGATCAACTTCAGTGACCATGTATTTCAATTCGAATCGAAAATTCCGAAATTTTGCGCTTTTAATCTGTCGCGGCATTCCTGAAACAAATTTTTTTTTTTTAGTGTTTTAGGTTATATTATATATGTATATATATCAGCGTTTCTCAACCCGACTCGTGTTTTCATCGGGAATCCGCCAGTGAGTTGTGAAATTCAATCGTTTGATTAAGCGACGCGCAAGTGACCTGTCGCGTCACCTGTTAGGCTGTTACCAAATTTTCGAATAGTAAGTTGCTATTCTAATAGTTGAATATACGCCCAGCCCTACTCAGTATCCAGTAAATATTGAATCGATTAATGTTATGTAAATAAACTTGCTTTTTTATGTTTCATGTAAATTCTAACGTAAGTCGTAACTTGGCTGATGGTTAAGTTTCGCAAAAACGTTTGTGGCCCGCAGTGACCGCGGACTCGGGTTGGGAAACACTGCTATAGCTATACTATAACGATATGTGTGGGTGTTTGTCTACTAAACAAAACAAAACTCAAAGCCTTCCGAGAATCGAAGTCCGGGGGGATTCACCGAGTGATCACCCGCGTGTTTCAAAGAATAATGAATCCAATACTTTTTATTGCTGCCGTTCACAAAAGAAATCGATAAGCCTGAAAGGTTGTTAGTTGCGTGATGACAACGAATTAAATTTTCTTGAGTTTACAGATACGCGACTTAAGTTACATTCGACTGTCGAAGTGAACACAATCTTTTTTGTGGCTGGTATAATACATATTTGAGTGGTTTATGACAATAACATCACTTAAATAGGTTATTCCTAAAAAACGTACGTTTGTTAGGCATAGCAGAAAGTTTTTGAGGGCATGGCTTCTTCAAGTGAGTATATATCTTTGCTATATTTTAAATTTATCTTTTGAAAACTTAACAGTAGTGACTCTTCAGGAATTATGTGGGTATTAGCAAATTACTTCATGCAATGCAAAAAAAATTGAAAAGTAAGTTGACCTCAATTTCAGCTTTGAATACTACGTTACAAATATCAAAAACAACTTTCCGAATGTACTTTACCTCGCCGTTATTTATACCAAACCCAGATTGAAACTACTGTTTTTTTGAATTGAGACCGATTTAAACTCATTCTAATGTATATACACAGACACGGGCCATGCTGTTCCGATAATGCAATGCAAAGGCAATGGTGCAATTGAACTCGACCACGTCGCTTTGACTCACATATTCCGTCATCCAGATGTACAAGACAAGCCGGTTTGTATTGTTTCCATAGCTGGAGCATTTCGAAAGGGGAAGTCATTCATGCTGAATTTCTTTCTACGTTATTTAAGAAACCAAGGGGTAAGTAACGACTAAAATTTATTTACATATATATATATAAATATATATATATATATATATAGAGAGAGAGAGATATTCATATACGTACTTTTAAACCAGTGGTTCTCAACCTTTCTACCCTGGCGAACCGGTAAAATTAAATTAAATGTACTCGCGGACCGGCGAAAAGTTAAAATGACCGGAACAGGAGGATATCCCATATATCTATCTGCTCAATAGAATGCAATGTCGGACACTCAATATGCTTCTAATCTAGACAAAAAGGCACGCTTAAAAACATTTCACACCAAGAAAAACTATCAAATAATGTGCCGGCAAAAAATTGAAATGGGTGAAACATGAAATAATACCATATATTTTCGTAGTGAAATACAGTGCTGGGTACCCATTATGCGTAAGAAGAACACGCATAAAACTTCTCACATAAAAACATGTAAATGCCAAATCATGTACAAACACAATTAACTCTAGTGAGAATTTTGCTGCTGTTTCGTTTCCGAGATAGGATTGCAAACGAGGCCGAGGCCTCAATGAAGTTTCTGCAACACGTAGCCCTGCAACGGCGTGCAGCCGATTTCTTTGCTTTGTTTTAATTAGAGCTATAGTGATGAAAATGTTTTTTCGCATAACGCAGTATCTGTTGAAAATACGGACAACAGTTTGTTTGCTCGATTAATTAGCGATGGGTATTCGTTATCAAGAGATATCCAAAATTGTGACAGTGAATCTTTTTTAAATCTGGACTGTAAAGTATAATCACAATTTTAATCAAGCTTTTTCTTTTTCATCGGGTTCATCATGTTAATCTCTCTGCAGTTGATCGACGCCTCAAACGAAATGAATTTACATTACAATGACAAAGTCGTCGGTTACTTGGCACCAGGCTCAAAATCCTACTGTGTCTGCTTACAATACTGGAAATGATCTCTGCGACCCATGCTTTTATGCGCGTCCCCGTCCACCTGCAGGGGGGTAACAAGAACATATCTTACTGTAATGTTATACTGTTTTTGACTGCTTTCTGGTTTAAACAAAGAAATATGCATAACGTTTTTTATGGATTGTCAAATTAATCAGGAAAGGCACGCAGAACAGAAAAAGCACGCGTGACGATTTTTAGGCTTCTGAATTTTGTGAGATTTAATGGAGCGCATTCGCGATGAATCGAAGCCGAAGAAGCAAAAGGTGTCGCAATATGACGGCGGAAGAGAAATTGCGTAATAAACCAACGCAAACTCGTCTTCGGTAAAGCGATTGAGACGGTATAAAAATAACAAAACAACGAAATTTGTCGCGGACCGGCAAAAAAGCTTCGCGGACCGTCGGTTGGGAACCACTGTTTTAAACAATCATTTCAACAATCAATTTTTGCTAGATTAGCAATTTATTACCTAAGACACTCATCCTTGAGTGGTACATACCATATATGCACATTCTCCTATAAACTTGACTATTTCTCCCATTCCTAGTATGTGGTATCATTATTCGAGGGTGCTAACCGCTATATGTCCAAATTTTATTCTTATGTATATATATTATGTATTATATTTCATGTTGTATTGTCTCTATTTATTGATGTTGTCTTGTCCTACCAACTCCTTTGTACAAACAGTTGGGCATACTCCACCGTTACCCATGTTGCCTAATCCACCCTCCTCGCACAACTGTCTGTATGAAGGACCATATTATACTTATTCGATTTATTGCATTTTATGCTTATCATAAGGGGTGTATGCCGCACGTTCATGTGTTTTAGGCCAGTATAGTCTTGTGTATACATCCCGTTTTCAATGTTGATATTTACTAACTCCTGTGTTTTTGCTTTTACGAGACGAATAAACATACATACATACATTATTCCAATATTATTCTAAGTAGACGACTGCGAAATTTAGAAATTGATTTTAATCTGCTCTCTTTTCACATTTAGCAAATATACAACATGAGGGAATAGCAATGATAATATTTGAAGATGAGACCTAATAAATAACAATGGTGTAAAAACTTTTATTAATTTTCAGAAACATGTGCTTTATGTTTCAGTATAAAAATCCCAATTGGCTAGGATCTGTAACTGAGCCTCTTCAAGATGGTTTTGAATGGAAGGGCGGAATGAATGCCTGCACAAACGGTATTCTGATCTGGAACCAAATTTTCACCGTGAAGAAAAATGGAGAAAATGTCAGATATTTTTTATTTATAAATATCTATGTATAATTAATAATTTTTACGGTTGAATTTCCCATCTCCTTTATTGCTATAGCTATCTGCCAAAAATACGTCGCAGAAAAAATGCTCATATCGTCATTTTTTTGCCACAGATATATAATTCGGTGCTACCTTGGTATGCGATCTCGGCGGTTGTGTAATCTTAAAAATTTTAGTTAGAGTTGGGAACTGAATTATGTGAGATTGTCTTTAGGTGATATTAGAAGAATAAATAATCGTCGAGATCGCATACCAAAGTGGCACCTATGAAGCATTCCGTCTACTGACCCCCAGTGTATAAGCATATTGACTGAAAAGTCAAGAAACAATAACTTATATAGATTTCAGTATGAATACTGAAATTTACGTTTTGTATATTTTAAAGATATATGCCTATATCGTTATTTTTGCCGCAGTTGTATAAACCGGTGCTACTTTGGATGTGCTCTCGGAGTTTTTTTTTCTTCCTGCATTTTCCTCCGCATATCGCCTTCTGCAAATGTCATGTAGCCCAATAAAGCATGGAAATACCAATCTACGAAAAAGTGAATTCAGTTGGTGGCGCTTTCACAACAACTTCAAGTATACGCCATGATCAAATATTTGGATACGAAATCGGTACCGTCATGTAAGCGTCAGTAAAGCGCTCGCTGGCTGGAATCAATAATTATTTCTAAATTTACCAAAATATGGGGTAACATGATGGCCAAACAACAAACAATATATGTTCTACTAACAACAACAACATTCTGGAACGACTATTCAATAATGCTATGTGTTATTATCACAGGTTGCAGTTATGTTGATGGATACGCAGGGCCTTTTTGACAATAAAACTGACAACAAAACAAACACATTGATATTTGCTCTCAGCACGTTGATAAGTTCAGTCCAAATATTCAACTTGAGTCAACAAATCCAAGAAAGTGACTTGGGGTTCCTCCAGGTAAAATTTTATTAATACTAGTCTTGTTTTAACCGTGTTAAAAACTAAAATCCAAAAAGGTTTTTGGTATCGGCTACTGGAGACGAGTGACAAAAGCAAATTGTGTGAATTTATTCATGGGAATGATTTGCTTGTAAATAATGACATACTGCGAGCTATTTCTAGACCCTTCTGCGTTCACAAGTGCGAAGTCGTGTGTGATGCGATGCTTTCCCTTTTACACACATTTTCTTCTTTCATTTCAATTTCAATAACCTTTTTTCTAACGGACCATTCATATAAAGTCACTCCAAAGCATTTTAATGTACATGTTTATTTCTGTTAAGTTCTTCACCGCTTATGCTCAAGCAGCAAGACAGGCTAAGGGTGCTCAGAATATCAAGCCATTTCAGGTAAAATAGTTATTTTTAGAGCTTTGATAGTTTGTAAATGGCTCAGGTAGATATTATAAAATTAACCGTATATCTATAACAAAACAAGCGTCTTTTTTAACTCTCCACGCCATTCAATTATATGACAAAGCACGCTTCACGTTTTAGACATTGATTTTCCTTGTGAGGGACTGGCAATGGGCGGAGCAACTGGAATACGGAATGAGTGGTGGAAAGAGATATCTTCAAAAAATTCTATCCAGTGATTCGTCAACTAGTAAAGAACTTAGGGCCGTCAGGCAACATTTGAATTCAAGTTTTGATGATACAAGATGTTGTCTTATGCCTTATCCAGGAAGTACTGTCGCGGGAACGATGGCTTTTACTGGGAAAATGAAAGGTATAGCTGAGGTTAACGTATAATTATATGGTATTATGGAAAACTATCATGGCCAATTCTAGCACTTTCATTGACACTCGCCCACCCGTGCAAGGAAATTGTCCGGCATATTGGCAAAGAAAATATGAAATAAAACATTCTGACTGACAATTCGATTGCTAATTACTGAAAATTCATAGCATTAGTATGATATTTAAAAAGCTAATTTTCATCCAAAAAAGAACTGTATGAAAAATGGTTTTTCTTACTTTTTTTACATGTCAACAGACATTGACAGAGCATTTGTACAACAAGCAGTTGCACTCACTGAAAATATATTCAAGCCTGAAAATCTCGTTGTCAAGAAGATTAATGGAAATGTTGTAACTTCACTTGCAATTCTTAAATACGTGTTAGATTGTGGCAATAGTTTAACAGACGGAAAACTACCCAATCCCAAAACTATGATGGAGGTATTAACATAAGCATTTATGTATAATTTTTACAATTACAGTCATTTTGGGTATCTTAAAATAACCAAAGATGGTAGGTATACTACTAAAACTGAAAGTGTTTGTTTGACTTTGTAAGACTTTACAACCTGCGTCATATACGACCGAGTAAGATTTTAATTGTATCGATTTTTCTTATAGAACGTTGCAGAAGCTCAAAACTTACAGGCTCAGAGGCGTTGTGGTGAGAACTATACACGTATTATGAGAGAGGTGAATTTTTTTTTGAATGTGTGAAATAAAACAGTAGCATAATATATTATTCCTCCAACTGAAATATTTCAAACAAGGTCGCAAATCTGTAATATTGAAAATTCAGTGTGCCGTAAGGGTGGTAACAATACAAACACATAGACTTGCAATCATTATCTATTTTAACTCCTGGCCTTAGTTTGAAAACGGCTTGGGTTTGCAGTTGTGAGTTCTTGGGTCCAAGACGTGAGCGCGGTTTTTTGTCTCAAACAAACGTTTGAAAAATTGTTTAACTGTAATACCGACAATTAAAGGTTCTTGGAGACAAGTTTGTCGAGGAACAATTTTTTGCGGAAATGCACGAACAGGCTAAGAGCAGTGCCATGCGTGAATTTGAGGAATATACAAAATTTGGAAGTGAACAAAGTCGACAAAAGTACCGGGATTATTTGATACATACTATCGACAGAGAATACGACATTTTGAAACAACTTAACAAAAGCAACAAGGTAGCTTAATCTGTCTTAACTTTGTCGTAGTTATATCCATGCATCTGTCTAAAGCCCCGGTTCTCAACCGGTGAGCCATGACCCACTGCTAGGTCGCAAAAACATTTTAGGTAGGTCACAAAATGTTAGATTTATTAAAAATTGTTTGATTTTCTGGTATTAAAAATGAATGATAATTCTTCTTTTTTGACTACTGAAGGTAACTTTTAGTTTACGATAATTTATTAAGTGAAGTTTATCTTTGCAAAAAGAATTTTTTGTTTTTTGAAAAGTTTTTTTCTTGCCTGAGAAAGCTAACGAGCCACAGAATTTTTTCTACTACGAAAGGGGTCCACGAAAAAAAAGGTTTGAGAACCTTTGGTCTATAATTTATTTAATCAAGTAATGATAATCATTGAGTTTCTATATTTGTTACGCGTGACGATTTTTCCAATATTCATTTCATATAAATATTTACAAATATTTTTTTATATATTCAGATTGAATCGGAATCATCAGTGTTAACTTTGATTCAAAACTTGACAGATACGTATGAAGATAATATGAGACAGGTTTGGATCCGCATATTTTTATGTATATATACGACATTTCATACAACTAGGTATTAATTATTGATACGATAAAAACAAAGTTCGTTTGTTTATAAGCATGATCAATTCAATAGAATTCTCCATAGAATAGCCACACAAATTGTTTCACACCTAACAGCTACTATTGGTAATCCATAATATTTTAGGGAAACATGATAATAAGATAAGAACGAAATGTAATAAACAAAGGTTGGATAGGGCCTTAGTGGGCTCGGTGTAATACCCTAACCCCCTCCCGCCCCATGACTCCGATCGAAAAATTCAGGACACATGTGTAAAATAAGGGCATTTCTTATAAATATTTTCTAGGACAAAAACCTTTAAAATAAGTTAAAATCTTAGAAACTAGATAGCGATCGTAGACCGCTGACTTATCGATCTTGCGCATGTTCAATATTTTCGCATAGGGAGAAAAATCTAAAAAACAAAAAGCGACGAAAGTTAGGGGATCCCCCAAAACAGAAACTACAATTTTGATTCCTAAGCTCTGGCTCAATAGCGACACCGCGTGTCCCATCACTGATTAAATATTAACTCGCTAATTGTACGACATAATTCATCCAATTCATCAACTGGCTTCTGGTCCGACTATGATAAACGCACATGCAAAATTTGGAGCAGATTCAACCTCGCTTTCGTGAGATATCTCGTAACATACGAAAGTGTCTAACAGACAAATACCTATCAACATACTTACCGATCGAGATCGAGAGGACGTTATGGCAGCCCCACTTGAAACTGAATTCCCAACTCTAAATTCCTCTTTTCAATGTAAAGCGTCGTCATTGATTTATTATGATTAATTACTTTGTCTTGATACGATTAAATAAAACATAAAACGTGATATAAAGAACAAGCCGTGTATAACCTAGGCGTCCTCTGCTGATTATTTTAATGGGACACGACCTATATCATTTTCACTAACATCTTTTGATTATCTTTTTTTTTTTTTTTATAAATTAATAGGCGATCGATGGAAGCAAGGATTTGACTGAAGAAGAATTGGAGAATATGAATATAGTATTCGCCACCGAAGCGTACGACCTTTTTGCCGAATCAAACGTTAATCAAGAGCAGAAAAGCCGATACTTCGACAAACTACAAAGTAGAATCGAAAGAGTGCACGATATCATCAAGAAAGATAACGATGAAAAGTTGAAAATTGCTGAAGAACAGGTTAGTCTTTCTATTTTCATTTGAGTTCATGTGGGGAAGAAATGAAATGCGTTGAGCATGCAATACATCCTCAAGCAAGGCAAACCTTGGATGATAGTATTCAATTCGATGATTTGATTGGTTACTGAATCTACATAACATTTATTCTCTCACACATTTATGCTCTCTAGTTGAAAGATATAGGCTTTGATATTGTATCAATACTCGTGTTACAGTGGGCTGAATATTATTCTCACTTGTAGAATGAAGTGGAACGCCATTTTCTGAAGATGCAGCTTGAATATTCGATGCAATACAGAGATGAATTGCGAAAGGTAAACGAGCAATTACAATTGTCTTGATAGGATAATAGGGCAAGGTTCGTCGTACTACACACAGGAAATAGAAGTTAATCAGATGTCTCAGTCAAAAAGCAAACTACGGCCTCATGTCCGATTACCAGTCGGCGCCGGATATCGGAACAAGTATTCGATTACGGTAATTGTTCTAATTCTCCTTCTGCAGTGCAAGGACAAGAGTAATTATGATTGGTGCACACTGTACAAGCGTCTAGCAATTATGCAACTTTGGCAAACAGTGACTTATCTCCTATGTCATTTTCATTCAGTTTTGTACATTGGTAAACTGGTTTTGTTTTTTGAGCTTTCAAAACTATTATTTTAAATCAAACAAGATGGTGGATGAATATGCTTCTGGAGACGACTTACAGAAAATTGGTGCCGCGCGACGAAGAGATTTGGTTGACTTGCTCAAGATAAAGGTTTTGGAGCATGGATTATCAGAAGACTCATTGATATGGAATAAACATGTTAAAGGCCTTGAAGATAAACTTGAGGATGAATATAATCAAATACAAAGGATACACTTTGAAAAGACGGTATGCGTTTTCTGATTCTGTGTGGACTGCTTGCATTGACTACACACTGCATAGTTTGATAATGCAACCTCGTTCTTGTTTTTTTTTATGTCAGACGTCCGCCGTACCATTAATAAATGCCGCACCAAAACCCAGTATCAAAAGCCTAAATACTGAAATTCTATCGTACATTTAATGATAGTATCTTAATTTAGCATAAGGAAACTTCTGCAAATATATCTCTCTCATTAAACTTAATGCTGAAAAACAATTACCTACGCTAGAGGTTTCAAGCATAAATCGAATTTGAATTCGAACTTCTAATTCATCAATACAGGCAAATCTGGAAAAACAACTGGAAGCATTGCAGAATCAAGCTTATTGTGCATACGAAGAATATTTTTCACAGGTAAATTATCATTATCAAACAAAACTGAATGAGCAACCTATAAATAATGTTCCATTTTCAAATTATTTATGATCAACATCCGTTTGAAGCCCTAGTTAAATGATGATTTAAAACAACATCTTTCTAGCAATGCTGAACTATATATACTTGTATATATACTTGTGCCCAGCATTATTTATACGGCGTTCATGTTTATGGAACTCCTTTGAAACATAATGCTAGAAACAAAACAAAAAACTTTGGTGTCTTTCGCGATGCTTTGGTGACTTTTGCGATAGATTTGTCCACTCATAATTCTTTCCATGAGAAACCATGTTCAAACACCGTGTAAAAATTTAAATAATTTTTCAGCTTCTCAAAGACACTTACATGGAAAATGATAATTTATTTGCAAAACATACGGAAGTTGTAAATAATCTATTAATCAGCATGAAAACAGCTGTTGGCAATTCTTCTATTGCTACCAGATACATTATGGAAACTGAGAAGGGTCTGAATGACAAGTATTCTGTTACACAAGAATGGAACGAAAAAAATAATTCTTTTTTTCGGAAATGCTTTAAATTTGTGAAAGACTATGTTATTCCAGCTGCATCTGTTGTTATACCAACTTTAGTTAGTGCCTTCCTGAAGCTCCGTACTAAGTATTGAACGTGATTCGCATAACATAATTAACAATGTGACAATTTATGTTACACTCTTTCAAAAGTGTCTTGCTATTGATGCTGTAGAATGTAGATAACGGTTTTCTTTTACATGTTTATATTATATCAATTCAGTACGATTACAATACGATTTTTCGTAATTACTAAAACATTCATTTTTCAATTGGTCAATTTTTTCCATAAAAATTGATTTATTGATGATGTAAATAAAAATTTTCTTTTGCGTGTTTAAAACAATTTAGCAAGTTTTTGCAATTATTAACGTACCCATTTTTTGTTTGGTCAACTTTTAAAAATCCTTGTCTGATCAAGAAATTTTATAATCAGTTGGTACTTTTGTGAATAAAGTTTACTGTTTACACTCGTTGTTATTGTAATTACCGAATTCAAATCTATATCTACGTCACTGTCAATATTGTAGTTATTACTTATCGATTTTAATCGGTAAGTATGTTGATAGGTATTTGTCTGTCTGGCTGTCTGTTTGTCTGTTAGATGCACGCGATATCTCACGAAAGCGAGATTGAATCTGCTCCAGATTTTGCATGTGCATTCATCTTATCTCGGACCAGAAGTCTATTGATTTTGGGCAAATTATGTCGTATAATTAGCGAGTTATTAATTAATTAGTGATGGGACACAAGTGTCACTATGGAGTGAGAGCACTGTTTTGGGGGATCCCATAACTTTCGATCGATAAGTCTTCGGTCTCTGAACGATATTCTCGTTATTATTATTATTTGATCGAAAATACACTATATTGCAATCGCCAGTGAATTTGATTTACCTAACATTGACAACGAACATTGCATGCATATATATGAAAATAAAGATATATTATCCAATATCCTTGTGAGTTACCTTCTTTCAAAATTTTATTTCAGCCTAGTCCATTTTGATAGAATAGAGAATGTCCAGTCGAGTGCAATAACTCGATTTATGAAGGTGAGTTGGTCAGTGTCATTTTTTGAATAGATTTTTGTGAGGTTCCCCATGAGAGGATTTGGAATGATTCGATGTTGAAATTTGTCTGTGAATTGACTGGTTGTATATGTATATTTCATATCACACATCACAATCCATCAGACAGCCTACATACAAGGAAATTTGGATCATTTCCTCAGTGCCCAATCAAACTACATTCGAAAATAATCAAACCACACACATGATAAACATGATTTGAGTTTATTTTGCACTTTAGTTTGTGGGTATTTCTCTTTGACTCCTTGCTTGTTTATTTCACTAGTTTATTTGGCAAATGCAGTTATATTCATACGGCAAATTTATATCGAATGCACTACAGCAGTCAAAAAGGTCTGGTCGGTAACTGACATAGGGATTATCCTGCAGCATAATTGGTTTGTGAAGAAATTAACTAAGAATATGTAAGAAATGAGATTGCTCTTAACAAAACAAAAAGATTGCTGTCTCAATTAACCTACTGTAATTCTGCATCTAAGTGACTGATTGTATTAAGAATTTTTTTAGATGTACCACATAAAAATGTGAAAATTTTAAGCAGTAGTAGTAAGCACAGTATTTTAAAAATACTTTATTTGTACAAGAATTACGAGTGTGCAGTTATAGTTAATTTGGAAGTATTCAGAATGTAGCACCAGAGGTTAAAAGTAGCTTTGAGTTCTGATTTGATATTTCACAAGATTTCTTATTTAATTATCATATCTTGTGATATTTTATAATAGAGGTAATGATTACAAAATTTTTTGCCTTTGGAAACAATGGAGGCATTGACTTTGCCTGGTTTAAACCGCACTTACGGGGAATCCTTAGTAGCAAGTAAGTATAGTGTTGAGTGTAACAATCGGTGTCATTGCATTATACATTGCTTCTCAGCAATACCTATGTCCTATATTGAATGCATAAATTGATTGATCGGAAAAATAGGACTTATGCCTTCGCGCATGATACTTCGCAAATGTTAAGCCTGCCGACGAAAGCGCAACTGCAACTTGTATAATATGTGATAACAATATACGGCCAATGACACCATTTGCCAAGCAACCCATAACAAAACATTTCAAAGCGTGATGCTAAATGCATTTGATGGGCTGTAGCCGTTGTTCAAACCAAATCACGACTATTCTGTCTTATTATATATATAATCTAACATCGTATTTAAAAAATCAAACTAATATTCAAGTAAAGAAGTAAATCGAAATGCCGATGTTATTTGTATTTAATTAATATAAACATTCCCAAATACTTTTGTAACAAGATCAGTACATCAGAAAAGTTTACCAAGAAATTGTAAAAAATTTGTGATTAATAAAAAAAGCATTGATTAACAGTTAATAAAATACAGAATTAAGATGAAATAGCAATTATTTTTACGGGTTCCAAAACTGAAACTTCCTCGAATAAACGCCGATTTAATATTATTTGTGAGACAGAATATAACATATCAGTGAATCGTAATATGATATCGCTATAAAGAGATTGGAAGAATGGCGATTAGCGATAAAATACAAAACTGCAAAAGCACTATTTGATTACGTCATATTAAATTTTAACAACACATTTTTGTATATGAAAGTTGTAAAAAAAAGGATGCACGAATAACTTTACCGTCTTCACCTTACTTCTTATGAATATTGCCCAAAGTTTTATATCTAGCATCACCCAGAGCTTTTATCACCTATTAGCATTATGCATAATTAATAACCATTTATGTCTCAAAAAAAGTATTTCGGACTCTATGAAGACTCGTATTTTGTGGCGCTCTCGAAGTAATTTTATTCCAATTTTCCTCATCTTAGTTCTATTCGGGGACCAACCAAGTGACTCCTGTAGTATTTGTATCCAAAATTATGGCTTATCCCTAACCCGGTATACATACTACGTTCCGGTGTCCGCGATATTGGTTCACCTAATTCGGAAATATCTTTTTGTGAATGAAAAAATTAGCTTTTTGAAGTTTTGGAGTAAATAATGTGACTTTCACATTTCCATAAATGTCAGGGTTATATTACGCCATTCATTTAAAAATAATTATACTTTTAGTCTACAGCGATATTTTAGATTAATGTGGCGGGAATTTCTTTTGTCTTTCAAAACATAACAATACGAACAACATAGTTATTAAAGTATCATTATATGTTTACTGATCCATTTCATGTCGTCGTGGATGCGGTAATAGGGCTATATTACAGGCAATTAGCTCGAGCCTAGATTGATGATAAACTTATTTAGCATTGTTGAGAGCGTTCGATAGTAGATATACAAGCGAACTAAGATTCACTATTCATTTAGAAGAAACGCTTAATGCAGCCAGATTACGTCGAAGTTGGTTTCGCTCTTACAATGTTTTTGGTAATCTGGAATAGTCAATCTATTGAAAATTTCATGCTATGACTAATATGTCGCATGCAGCTTGCGTTGTTTTACATACCTTTATGAAACAAGTAGCCGTTACACTTAAATGAGTCAATTTCAAGAATTCAGACCTAGAAAGTGAACAACTATCAATGTTTTTATATAATTTATTTTCATTTATCAATTCTATTTTTCAATTTTTTTTTTTACTTCCTATCAAGAGTATGCGGAATATTAGTAGGGATTTTTGCTAATAGAATAAACATGCGAATATATTTTACCGTGAATTAAATTATAAATTAAGGCAAGAGAGAAATGCTAAAATATATGGACACGAATATCGTAAACGGCATGATCTGAGAGCACGCAGTTTTCTTCAAAGACCGGTGGGTAAGCAATACGGAGGCGTTCAAACAATATGCATAAAAAATGTTTTATTTTCAATTAATATGACCAAGGTTATATTGTTGGTGAAATATCGAGTCCCATCGACTTAGAAGAAATTTAAAAACAAAATAAAATTAACTCGGTCATCTTTAACTGCTACAAATTTGACATGGACTGGTCACATTATTGCGTTTAAAAGATGTTGTAGCAACAACAATCACGCCGACAACCAAAGCAAAATCTCAGCAAAACGATTCAAATAAACACTTTGCGTTCAGAAATATTCTGGCCAATACGTTAATATTATAACTTAATTACCAATTTGTAAGTTTAGTACGCAATGAAATCAGGCGAGATAGATGATGAAATGTATGTAGTCTGGACAATAGAACATAAATACGCATTTCAGAAAGGAAGTCTCTCAAACGCACGTATTTATCCGCCGAAAGTATTTAGTATTACTCATTGTGCTTATGGGTGTTTGGAAACACTGCCGAAACTACTTTTCGGTCATCGAATTTCGTATTATGTAGAGATAAAGAAGTTAAACTTGGATGCATGCTTGCTTTCCAGATGCGAAACTAAGTACCATATTCGCAAAATGTTAATCATACACTGTGACTCGCATGCGAAATTGATTTTGGGTAATCACTCAGAAGAAAATTTGAGACATAATTAATTTAGCATACATATGCGCTAACATAATATAATATAGCGAAAAAAATATCATTGAGAAGTTTTGAAAATTTTTTACGAAATATCTTCGTATTTTATCATTTTTTTTTGCACAACCTATACACATAGCGTTCGACAATAGGAGACAAAAGATTAATTACAATTTTGTGTAGGTCAATAACATCATCAGTTTTGAGTACCGACTCAACGCCTCCGAAGACGAAGTAAAGTCGTAGGATAACAAAACATAACGTATATACTATAGCGTCACATGAACGAGATCAAATGAATCACAATAATATTTTGTTAGCTAAATCTAAAAGTCGAACGAATTGAATTTACCGATAAAATAGTGAACGTGCGATTGTTTTTCGTGGTAGCAGCCTGGAACAAATTATACCTGCTACTTAGTTCCGCCTCCAAATATATCATAGTTGTATAAAAAATCATAAGAAATAATCCCAATATCAGTGACGTATGAACTGCCTGTGGAGAATTCAATATATACTAATTTTGTTTTGTTGTTGTGCGTTTATGAATAATTTGATATTACAAAATTACTCTGTGGTGGTAAAAAAGGGGCCGTGTATAAATCCTTGACTAAATTCTTCGAACTTAACTCGGAAGCATTTCATTTGAGACTGAATTATATTGCTATATTAAATTCAGAGCTGGTTCGATAGATCTGTAATGTTTGAGCTTATTTCTTATCGATTTTAATCGGTAAGTATGTTGATAGGTATTTGTCTGTCTGTCTGTCTGTCTGTTAGATGCACGCGATATCTCACGAAAGAAAAATTGAATCTGCTCCAGATTTTGCATGTGCATTCATCATATGTCGTACCTGAATCCTATTGATTTTGGATGAATTATGTCTCATAATTAGCGAGTTATGATTTAATTAGTGATGGGACACAGGTGTCACTATGGAGTAAAAGCGCTTTTTTGGGGGATCCCCTAACTTTCGATCGATAAGTCTTCGGTCTCTGACCGATATTCTCGTATTAATATTTGTTAAATAGACAACCAGGGGCGTAGTCAGGGGTGAGGGTATGAACCGATGGCTGATACGGTCTAACTACCCTATAATATTCCCGATTGCGACCATAGAGACAACTGCCAAACACGTCCTATTGGCTGGTTGGAATTATAGTGTCTCAAACTGTTTTATATGTACGGTGTATTCATTTATGTGCATTATGATTCTAATATGGTTCTACACAGCGGCGTAGCCAGTAATTTTCAAAGAGGGGGGTTCTGAAATTCAAGTGCTCCAGAAGTATGTTTAATATTGGCGCACAACCTGAACATAGTATGAGTACCCAGTCAGGGTTCAGGTTGTGCGTCATCTTGGTACACATACTTCCGGAGCGCCGAAATTTCACTTTAACAGGTGGTCTGGCCGGAGATATAAACTGAATATGAGAGAATTCGCCAAGAACAAGGGCTTCAAATGAAACTTGCGGACTGAACTGATGTTTCCCCGAGCATCGACTTCCTTGTTTACTTCGAGACATTGGCCAATCAGTAAGATGCAAAGAGTGACGTAGTTTCGCATCCGCTCAGACACTTTCTCGCTCAGACAGATTTTCAAGCGTCGTCGTAAACATTACCTCGTTTTCGCGTTTTTGAAATCTATTTGTTATTAGGCTTCCCGCTGCTTGTCAGCAGGGAACCTATTGTATTCCTGTGTCTCATTATTATTATTTATTATTATTTATTTATTATTATTTATTTATTATTATTTATTTATTATTATTTATTTATTATTTATTTTTATTATTTTTTTTTCAAATTGGTCCTACAAACTTGAAATTCACCTCAAATGTGCAGAAGTTCTCAGCTAGCAATAAAATGCAAATTTTATGCATGACCGACCACGCTTTCACGCTCCAGTGAGCAAAACGCGTTTTCAGTTTTTTTGCGATTCCTCAAAATTGATACATGCTATTGGGTTGAAATTCATAACAATGATTAATGGACATGTTCCGGATACGATATGTCAAGGATACGCATGAGTGACCTCGGCGATACGCTCCAGTGAGCAATATAGAATTTTACATTTTCATCTTCTTCTCGAGAACGACACTACTTAGAGACTTGAAATTTACATCACATGCAGATAATAAGTCCCCCATCATAAATTGCAAATTTTATGCATGACTGACCACGTTTTCACGCTCCAGTGAGCAAAACGCGTCTTCAGTTTTTTTGCGATTTCTCAAAATTGATACATGCTATTGGGTTGAAATTCATAAGAATGATTAATGGACATGTTCCGGATACGATATGTCAAGGATACGCATGAGTGACCTCGGCGATACGCTTCAGTGAGAAATATAGGATTTTACATTTTCATCTTCTCCTCGAGAACGACACTACTTAGAGACTTGAAATTTAAATCACATGCAGATAATAAGTCCCCTATCATAAATTGCAAATTTTATGCATGACTGACCACGCTTTCACGCTCCAGTGAGCAAAACGCGTCTTCAGTTTTTTTACGCGGGAAGCCTGTTAAAGCTGCACGCAGCTCTAGTTTTTAGTTGTGTTTCGGATATTTAAATATATATCAAATATTTCAATAATCACTTTTTCTTCCTAGGAGTTTCAGTTTAATTGCAATAATCAAAAATTAGTGTAGAAATACCTGCGATAGACTAGGCTAAAAAAATTTACCGGTAAAAACAGATTGTTGAATGCTATGAACCAGAATGATGGTTTGAAACAAAAATACTCCATTTTACAGGCGCCAACTTGCAAAACCATTCCGAAAATAAGCACCGAAAATTTTGCAATGGTTAGGTACAGGAAGAATTTTACGGGGGTCAAAGGTCGGGGAAGGATCCATAAATCGCCTTATTCGGTCACAATCACGTCGCTTCTACTTGACGGCATCCGGAGCCATAAAGTTTTTTGCGCTCATTCGGCGCGGTGACTTTTTTTTATACCCCACCAAACATTTTTGCCATTTTGTGAAAAGTCAATCGGGTTTTTAAGCAAGCTCCTTAATAACATGATCAACTTGCTCGCAACCGATCGTTCTTATGACTCAATGCTTTCTATCACGTCGAAACAAGATGATGCTGCTGCTGCAAAAAGAAACAATATATAATATTCAACGAAATCTTACATCTAACATTTAGCAGTGGAGCTTCCATGAGACGTGTGGCATCCGATTAGGATATTTAAAGAAATTAGTAAGTAAAGAAAGTGTAAAAAAAAGTATATTAATATATTCGAATGAGTTTTACACTTATAGTTTTGTCATTGTGCATTCTGGAGTCGACTTATAGCTATTAATTTTACCGCACCTTAAAGTTAATAAACGTCTTACTAAAATTACAGAGAAAATATAATTTTGGAATCCCTGCATGAAGAGTCAATGTTGATATAAATGGATATAAACAATTAAATCCGTGTATTTTCATTGAAAATCATTAAGGTTTGAGGTAAAATACAGATTATATACATTCAGGATTTATTAGAGTCGCATGTGAAACAAGTACAATTGACACATTGAGATATTGTAAGTGGAGACATTAGGTTTCTTACGTGACTTGCTATTAATAAAATTGCAGCAAACGAATATTTAATTTACACAAGATGGGGAAATCCTGTTGCTCAGAGTTCACAACCGTCCTAACCGTGCAAGGGTCAAACTCAACATCTCTCAACATTTTTTTTCAGACTTATATTCAATTAGCGCACATAAATATAACGTCGAAAAATATGTCATCCACGGCATTTACTGCCTCAGTGAATGTAACAAAATATCCAGATGTACTCTCTTCAAATGACACTTTTAACTATGAATTGGAATGGCTGATATGTGCAGGACTGAGCGCACCTTTGGGACTATTCTCTTTATATGTGGCTATCACACAAGTTGCATACTGTGCTCTTAAGTCGGGAAAGACAAAAAAGAGCTCGGAGAAACGACGATCAAGCAGCACAGGATCGAATAGTCACAGTGGCAAAGCAAATGTACAAGATAAGCATGCTTTCATTCTCAATGCTATGTGTGCTATTGGCGCTATTTGCGCATTTTTGCGTGCTGGTGTCGATTTTCGCCTTATTTTTGGCAACAATACTGATCTCGGGTGTGACTTGTCCATTAAATTCAAGTTAGCGGCTTATGCTCTTTCGCTGATTGCGGTATATCTGGTATTATGGCTCCGTCAACGAACCTTCTACCAGCATCCAAGATTGAAGCATCTCAGTTCAAAACTTATCAGGGTTATAAGCTGGACAATGTGTATTCTTATTGTCACTGGAATGGGATCAACGGCAATTCTATTCTTCGCAGTTGGGCGGTACGTGGGCGTGCCAAACGGATGCGTCGTCCAGAAAAGCAAGCTTACGTCAATACGTTGGATTATTCTTATAGGATGCACCACATTTTTTCAGATATGTCTTCTCACTCTCTTCGTTTATCCACTTGTAAAACACAACATGAGCGTACGTTCCGGTTCTACTGGAGGAGATAAGAAAAAGAACCCGATCATACCCCTCATACAGAGAGCAACGATAACATCTGCTATATGTGTTGCGACGGACATAGCGTTCGCGCTAATTATTTTGATTTTGAAAAGAGATATTGTGACTATGTCAACATTTATTTATGACGTCAACATTGTTATTAACGCAATGTGTATGATTTTCTCGTTTCCTGATTGGAAAGTAAGACTCATGCCATGGCGTGTGAATTCCACTGAAGGACAATCCACCGAATTAAGCACAGATGCGTCGTCGAGGAACCGCACAAGCGAGACAAATGTGATATCTGCTAATTCAGTTGCATAGTTACTAAGAATAAAAACATTTACCACTGCAATTGTTTTTCTGACTGTACGTTTGTGTGTATATTTTGACTCATATGTACAGTATTCTGTCCATTTATTTTCAAATACACCGCGTGTCTCTTTCTGTGGAGGTGGAGAATTTGACTGTTCTAGCTGATATTTTGAAAACGTTTTATTCTATGTATTCCTTATTCAATTTGATTTTTGTATTATAAAAATAATATTTCATTTGAAAAAAATATTTCAATGTACCACAATATGAATTTCTAGCGTCTCCGGCGATCTATACACAGACAGAAAACGCACAATGAATATTCACTTTTTTTTAAAAAAAAACAGCACTAACTTTGCGTGATTATCCAAAGTGTGTGTTGGATTTTTTAGTGTAAAGTTTTTAATTAACAAACATAAATTTTTCTACACGTATATATACACACACATCTTCATATTGTTCGTGTTTTTCAGCGGATATGTTGTCACAATACTTAATTCTACTACCCTACACATTGTAGGCATTTGGCCCGCAATAACTGTCACACTTTTCTTTACACGAATAGAAAGCTACAATACTGAAGTTCAATGTCCAATTCTATACAGAATAAACATATAAGCCGTAGACCAGGCCTGCCCAACCTTTTTTGTGTCGCGGGCCACTTTCGTATGACGAAATTCATCGCGGGCCGCCAATATGAACATAATGTAAGTTTTAAGTGACTCAAGAGTAGGGATGCCACTTTTGGATTTACGAATCGAATCGAATCTTTCCCGAATCGACTCGAATCAGATTCACGCGATTCGGAAAAAGAGAGCATTTACCAAAAAACACGTTTGTTTACTCGTTGTTATCGCGTTTATGCGGCACTCGAAATTACAGAACGGAAATTGAAAATGAATTTTTCGTGATCGACTTTTTTACGGATATGCCGTCATTTGTTTCAAGTTTGGCACAAGCGACTTTTTCAGGCATCACTCGAGATGCTGTGCGGCGTAATTTCCTCCAACCTGCCAGTTCAGTTTTCTACTGAATAGCCTAAGACCTAAGTTTCTATTATGCGCGAATTTAAATAGATCGTATACCTGAAAATCCGTAACAATTTTGACGAAAATTTTCAACAGCACTCTCGCGCTGCGACTACGTTCGCCTTGGCATGATTGGATAGAGAATCAGTCACCTATCTTTAGAAAATGATAATTATTAATTGAAATTTAATATAAACTTCGTTCAGAGAGAAATATTTCGTGTATACTTGAAGAGAAATGTTACCGAATAAGTCATCGGCCGGGCATGTTAATTGACAATCAAGTTTTTATCCTAAGATTTATATTTAATGTATTTTAATCGCGTTTATCAAGCTTCCACACTCGAGTGGCGGTAAACGATATGAGGGAAAACATAATGTGATAAAACATATACGTTTCTTTTCAGCTGTTACATCAAAAGAAATGTAGGATTTTCTTGGCGCGATACAATCGGATAATAAAATATTTCGGATTATTTCTAGCAAATGTCCTAACGAACTGGTGGATTAGATAAAATTTGAGAAATGAAAACTTGTGCTTCTTATTACTCTCGATAAACAAAAACTGCGTCGTCCATTGATCATTAAAAACTCATTTATCGTCGCTGTATTTACGTTTTCGGTTTTCAGGTGTGCTCATATTTGTTTAATCAACTGTTACTCAAACACTACCGTAATAAAAACCACGCCTCGTCTAGCTAACAATAGTAACTGCAAGCGAGGTCCGATATTTCGAACATAGACAGTTGGACTATTATGACGGGGAAATCCTTTTTTATTCGATATGATTCGATACACACGGTGGTTATGCGTCGCTATAGTGGCATGTAGTGTTGCGAGCTTGTGTGAATGCCTAAATCTTTAAAAAATGACGTATTTGCGAAGCTTTTGTTATATGAATGTTTGGGTGGCATGCTCACAACAAAAACAACCGGTTTTATTGTCAAGTATGCTCAGTCAAAGTTATAAAAAATATTAACAAATTTATAAAAAGTCCGCTTACGGACTCGATACATCGAGCGCCACAAAAAACGGCCCCGCGGCTTGGGTAGCCTTGCCGTAGACAAGGGGTCGGCAACCTACTGGCTGGCCGAATCCGGTCCACGGAACAATATAATCCTGTTTTATCCATTATATTCTTTACGCAAAAGAATTTACGTGTAGACTAAATTATATTATACCGTAGCAAGTATATAATTCATAATTACTCGTTTAATGAGCCTATAATTTAATTATAATTTAGACAAATGACAACAAAACGCAGAAAAGTTGATGCTGAGTGCAATTGGTTTAATGGCGCAAAAAATATTCAAATGGTCAGTCTTCGCGCGCTGCTTAAAATTTAACTTCTGATCCGTGTGATAAAATGTGATTCATCGGTCATCCATTCGATTTTTAACATTCTAGAAATATGTGCTTTCCGCCCATGACTTGCAACCTTTAATTTTGGCTCGCGAGCGACAAAAGGTTGCCGACCCATGCCGCAGACTGAAACTAACAGTATTGAATTACCGTCAGGTGTGTCATTTGCGAGAAATTATAATAAAACACTCGTTTGTTATCTTCAAATATTTGATGCGCAAAGAAAGAATTACTAAAATTCAATTCTATTCTGGTACTTTCAAGGTCAAATAACCGCAGCACAAGGTTAAACTATTTGTGATAATTATTATAATATTTAACGATAATTTACTTCTTGGAAAAACGTAGAAATGTAACAACTTTTATTTATTTTAATCAAATATAAAGTAAATGGCGTGTGATGCTAGTTCTCTATAAACAGGAGACAGTGATTCCAAGTGAAGTACTAATCCATGGTTACTTTGAACACTAAACCATAAGACAACCTGTTTACATTTCTGATAAAATAGCTACCGCCAAGGGCTAGGGGAGTCATGAAAGAGCGCGGTTACTAAAGCAGAATATTACAGAATAAAGAAATCCGAAATAAATTTGGGGGAATAGTGAGTCGCAAAACTTACTTTTCGGAAAATGAATGAAGAACTTCAAAACGCATATATGAGGGAAAATAATTCAAGTTATAACTATCTTTTGACATTTCATTTTTGCTACGAGGAAATATCTGTACAAACGGAATATTTCCAGAGTATTTTTAACACTCTATGACAGTGTTTCCCAACCCGAGTTCGCGGTCTCCAATGAGTCCGCGGAGCGTTTGAATGAGTTCGCAACGAGCCAGAAATTCACTGCAGGCCGCAAACGTTTTTGCGAAACTCAATTATCAACCAAGTTACGATTTACGTTGGAATTTACATGAAACAAAGAAAGTTTATTCACGTAACATTAATCGAGTCAATAATTACTGGTTACTGAGTAGGGCTGGGCATATTTTTCAATCTTCAACTATTAGAATAGCAATTTACTATTCGAAAATTTGGTAACAGGTGACGCGACAGGTCCCTTGTGCGTCGGTTAATCAAACGATTGGATTTCACAACTCACTTGCGGATTTCCGGCGAAAACACGAGTCGGAACACGCGTCGATAGATAGATACCTAAGTGGTGTTTCTCGCGAGTTCGAACAACGAGGAATTAATTTTTAAAGGCTCAATGGTGGCAACCCAAATTTTCTAAATTGAAAAGCGACAATAGTTGTACTAAACATAAAACAGAGAACACCATAACACCATAACAACATTTTTTGATGATCCGCGACCGATTAAAAACGCTTTCTTAGACATTGCAAATCGCAAAATTTCGGGTGCTGTCGTAGTATACGCACCAGCAATGACATGTTTAATGTCATTGGTACCAGGGCATTTTTCCTTAGGATTCTTTGCTTTATGGCCTCCACATTAGTACGTAAAGTACTGGGGCGCAGTAAATGCTGTATGGACATCTCAGATTTGTTGAATTCACAACAATACGAATCAAAACAAAATATAATCGGGCACTTTAACACGCATTTTTGTGTCCACTGATTGGCATGATATTTTCTGAGTAGTATTGCATTTATTTCGTCAACACAACCGAAGGTTAAAATGCGACGCAGATCACAATTAAATTATTAACAAAGCGAGGCGATGAATGTGTATTTGTGATTTACTAATATACTTTAAATATATTTTTAATAAGTACTAAATCAAGTTGTACTTTCTGAAAATTTATAGCAGTTAGCAGGCGATAACAAATTCGAAGATCGCAAAAAATATGTATCAAAACTAAATATAACCGCGCAATATATTCTCAAATTAATATGTTCGTAGATTGCCGTGGCATTTTAAAGAAGTAATGCTTTCATCTTGTCATAAGTCGACGCAACCGCAAGTTACCATGAACACAATTAAATTAAAATAGAGAGGCATTTTAAATTCTCGTTGTTGTCATGGATTAAATATTGGGCGACAGGCAGGCAGGCCATTCATTATACACTAAAGAAGTCGGTTCTTACTAAGAATGCGTAATTGCGGCGAATTTTCGATTTTGATTCAATAAAATTTGTTGTGTAGGTTGTGTTTGCCGTGAGAAAATAGTCCGCGACCAAAAATGGTTGGGAAACGCTGCTCTATGACCAAGACCATGTTCGAGACATATGTAAACAGTGACTGATAGTCCGGCAGATAAGGGGACCTTTTTGGCCCAAGTTTGATTTCAGACATAAAGTTTTTTTTATTTGTGATTATTCATCTGGGGTTCATTGCCCATCATTTCTACATGGGTGTGGAGTTTGCAGCCTTGAGCAATTTTTTTTACGGCTCGATATTTGTTTTAGTGTTTTTCGTCAAACCTGTGCAATGACGCACAACCTGAACCATAACCTGTTACAATACTATGTTCAGGTTGTGCGCAATCTTGGTGCACAAACTACGCAGGCACCAAATTTACTAGGAAATAAAATCAATAACTTTTAGGTATTCATTGAGATATTTGTATTAGTGTTTTTCGTCAAACATATGCATCATAATGACGCACAACCGGAACCATCTCCTGTTACAATACTATGTTCAGGTTGTGCGCAATCTTGGTGCATAAACTACGCAAGCACCAAATTTACTAGGAAATAAAATCAATAACTTTTAGGTATTTGTTGAGCCCAGCTTTGGGTCGCGACCCATATACAGTATATGGAAATACTGTCGAAACATACGCGTAAAATAAAGAGTACTATTTCAAAATACCCGTTTTTGTTGCAATTAACAATACAAGCCTGCTGATGCAGTCGCCAGTGGTTCAAGTGGATATACACCCGGTGGAGAACAGTCAATTATTCGTTAGCGAGAATTGTTATGCAGCGGGATGATCACGACGACGCAGTGAAAGATAATGATATTACGAGAACAAGAATGAGAAAATTGCTACTTTTTATAGTATATACCTGGGAAAGAATGTAGTTCATTCTTATGTTCCTTGCCAAGCTTTTCAAACTACCAACCACTCTCAACACTTTTGCTTCTTCTCTTCTATAAAAATTACATAAATATTATATATTCGCATTTTCATCTGTTTGTTCTGCTCCCAGATAACCGATCAGCGGCCTTCAAGGAGGACGAGGTCCCCT